ATGCTGCAGTACTGTACATATTTTTCTTAGTAATTAGTTATTTGTGCATATCAGTATTTGTAACTTTAACATATTGTTGTGTGAGAAATGTTACTGGGGAAATAGTTCAGCCAGTTTGGAGGTGCTGTCCTATATCTTGGAATGAATTAACCATTGCTAATGGAAATTTACAAAGTCAGAATTGGAAGGTTTTATTCATTCTTGAATTTTTCCTTTCTAAAGAGCTCTTCTATTTATGCATGCCTAAATTTTTTTAAATGTAGAGGGATACTTGTCTTCATAATAAACAAAGCTAATCATGCTTTGCCACAATTTTCAGGTGAAAAAATTAAATATTAGAAAATAAATTAGGTGTTTTATATTATTTAGTGTAGTGTTAGATACACACACATATGCACATAAGTGAGGAAGAAGTATTTATGTAGGTGTCAATTTGTAACATATACTATTCTATATTTAGTCTTTTAGACTAAATTAATTTGTTTTTATTATCCTAACTATGGTACAACTGCTTCTTAGTTATGACAGAGGTTCTCACAGTTCCTAAACAAGAGTGGTAGGATCTCCTTGATATTTGTTGGAAATTCAGTTTCTTAGCTTGCCCGGACACAATTTATCAGAAAAGGTGGTAAGGTAATCTGTGTTTTTAACAAGCCTGACAGGTGAGTCTGAAGCTTTTTGAAATTTGAGAGCCTTTCCTTTCATTAATATAGTGTTTTACTTACATAATGTCCTTTGATCCTTATAGTAATCCTGTGATATATTATAACTCTTCATGTGTGTTCTTGGGGAGGTAAGGATTGAAGGGATTAAGTATTTCCTTCTGAGTTACACTGCTATTCAGCAATATTCCAAAGTATAATTTTTGGTCTTTTTCAGATAATACGTTGCTCTTTCCTTTGAATATATTCTGAAGCAATTTTAGTTATTTTCCTATTCCAGAGTTTTGAATGATTGTTATGTGATCTTTTAAAATTTTAATCAGTGTCTCATGTGAAGAACACTTTGACAAGTTATATAACAGGACTAGAATTCATATTCAAATACTGTTTCTGCTAGTTTAACACTGGTTCCATCATATAGTTTAAAAATGAAATGTCCTTTTAACTAAAAATAAATATGTAAAATAGTTTTTAAATGCATAACCTAACAAACCTGAAATTAAAAATACAAAGAATTCTGTCAATTTAAATTCAGCTTCTTATGGACTTGAACCTCAGTATTTTAATTTTTTTTAATGACACATGCTCATTTAACTGCTTCTCAGTTACCAAAAGAATTTCCAAGATTGATTTGGAATTATTTCTGCCAAATGAAACAATGCTGTTCTGTTAGTTGTAATTTTCATGAGTCTGTTTAAATTAATTAACCAAATTAACAAACCATAAAATCAAGTATGTTTATAAAGACCCAAAACCTTGTAATGACTTCTTTTGAAGCCTCTAGACAGAAAAATCTTAAAAAGAAAAATAGGTTACTTTAATGAACAAGACATGATGGATTCTTTAATAAATAGAAATTGGTACTTTAAGTTGTAACTAATATTTCTCTTGGCTACAGAAGAAAATAATTTGCAAAGTGATAAGTTGACAAGTCAGACTGAAATAATTAATGATGATTTAGGGTCATATTTTACTTTCCCTTATGTTCACTGTATCTTTATTTCAAAAGAATTTACATAATGTAGCATTTGCATTATGGAGAATAAAAATCTTGTCATGTTATATTACCCTAGCTTATCTGGTAAATGATTTTGAGGCTGTACTTGTTATATAAAATACCTTTAAAAACATCTTTATAGTGGTGGTTTTATTTTTCTTTTAAACTTCTTTGACTTTGGGGAGGATAAATATGTAGTGTACTTATTAAATAATTTCACATAATAATTCAGTGATCTCTGTAGTTGTTAATAATTCAGTTTCTTGATCCCACTCCTCTTCTTACTCAGATGGTCTTAGAAGAGAGCTTACAAATCTGTTTAAATGAGCACCAGCAGTGAATCTGATGAAGGAGTTCTTGGGTCTCAGTGTAAAAAAGGAAGAGAAAAATACTTCTTCAAGTTAACACCAAAGATACCAAAGTTAAATATTCCAAAAACTACTTTAGCCTCTGTTATGTACCCTGCTACTACAGCCAGGCCAGGCTGTATATCCTAGTTTTTTTATTTCCTCGCAAAAAAGTATATAGGTTGGAGTCTTGGAATATTGTATAATTGTTACTCAGTACAAGTGGGTACTACGTAAATATCTTAGGATGGATGAATAGAGGAGACCCACCAGCTTAATGTTTAGAATTTCTACATTATCCTCATTCCATCCTTCCTTTGGTTCCACTGTCTAAATCATGTGTAGTTTTATTTTCTTTCTTATACAGATTTTCATGGAAGGTCCCATGTCTTGTCTAGACATTTTCATATTTCTCCTTTTAGCAGTATTTTACACATACATGGTCAGTAAATATTTATCAAGTAAAAATATTTCGTGTTTCTTTAAACCATACTAGATTCTCACCTCAGTGAAGGGGGGCACTTTATCTCGTTTTTTTTTAGCTTTCTTACGGTTTGAAAGTGACTATATGCTTAGAAACATTTGAATGAATAAATAGGTAAACAAAATAAGAAGTAACTATTTTAATTTAAGTTTGCTTAAGATATAAAGTTGAGGGTTACTGAGGTTTTATAAATAATAAATTTTATTTTTATGTGGAAGAAAAAAATCTACCTTGTCAAACTTGCAGTTGAAATGTTCCTACCTTTTACAAGAGATAAAATGGTAGATTGTGACAGATTTGGAACTGGTGAAGCTTCATCTGGGCATTATGGTTAACAGATTTTTCCTTTTTACTTAGTCTTAAATAGATTATGTCAGTAATTATGAGAATATAATAATTTAAGCCTAAATGTAGTCTCTTAACATTCTGTGAGGTAAAGATATTTTCTCTGTGCAAGCTAGAGAACCCACCAAAATCAGAGTTTTCTTTAGTCAAAAGTAAGAAAACAGAAGACATTTTCAAGTAAAAGCAACACTTTCTGAAATAAGTTCTATTAGTGTACTCTTTTAAAATGTTCATATGGATCAGGGATGTAGTTCAGTGGTAGAGCATATGCCTTTTATGTTCAGAGCCCTGGGTACAGTCTGTAGCATCATAAAAAGAAAAAAAAAAAAAAAAACATTTGTGCTTGGGATGTAGCTTAGTGACAGAACACTCACTGAGCACCTGCATGGCCCTGGGTTCAATCTCTAGTGCTGCAAAAACAAAACACACACATACATACATGCACATATATACACACATTTACGTATATGTATGTGTACTTATACACATACACATATGTGTATGTATTATGTTTGTTTTGAAAATACTATCAGCAACTGAGAGCTCTGATAAAGTGTGAATTCTCAAGCTTTTATATCTTAACTTCTGTTAAATTTTTCCAGTTGACTTAAATGCTTTTCTCTCCCTTTTTTCTAAATGCTTTGGAGATTTTTTTCTTTGAAGAAATTCTGATTTTTTTCCAGATTATCTGCTTACCTTTGTGTTGAATGGATGCTAAAAGAATATTAGTTATTTAAACATTCGAGTTTTGTGAATGATTGTTAAGAGATTTTACTACATTGTGAGTTTTAGCATCATATATGTGAGAACATTTTCTTTGATAATTTATAGATTGTATTAGCTTTCCATTGCTGTAATAAAATACTTAAGATAATCAACTTAAAAACAGTAAAGGTTAATTTTGGCTCATGATTTCATAAATTTCTTTTCATGTTCAGAAAGTCCCATTACTTTTGGTCTGTGGTGAGGCAGAACATTAAGTTGGAGACATGGTAGAATAAGCTGCTGACTTCATGGTGGCTGGAAAGAGAGAGGGTTAAAAGACCAGCTTTGACACATTTGAAATAATGCCCCCAGTGACCTAAAATCCCCATTTATCCTCACCTCTTAAAGTTTCCACCACCTCCTAATATTGCCAACCTGGACTCTCAGCCTTTATTTAATTCATGGGCATTGGGGGACATATAAGATCTAAATCATAGTATTCCACACATGGCCCCCAAGGGCTTATGTCTATCTCATCATGCAAAATGCATTCAGTCCATCTCCAAGAGTCCCCCAAATTTTAACCATTCTAGCATTGCTCAAAGTCCAGTTCCAAAGTCCTCAGAGTCTCAAGGCCAACTCAAACCTTGAGTCCTTAATAAAAATAAAAATAGAAAAAGGCTACATACTTCTAAAATACAGTGGTGCAGGGTAAACATTCTCCTTCAAAGAGGGCGGAATAGGAAAATAATAAGGAGTAATCAGACCAAAGAATGCTGAAATGCAACATGGCAAACATTAAATCCTAGGACCCCATGTCTGGCATCTGGTGCACACTGTGGCAAGATGTGGTCTCCCAGGAACTCAGGCAACCCGACCTCTTCAGCTTTGCTAGTTACAGCTCAGGTGGCAACTCTTTCAAGCTGACCTTGCAGGCTGCCTGCAGTTTCCCTAGCAGGGACACCTAGGCAAAGTGTGAATTCACCTGAAGAGAATAAACTAAGGAAACCATTTAGCAGTCTGTATTGGCTGCCTGTGGCTATGTACCTCCTCTCCCCTGTGTTTCTTTTATGATCTCCACCTTCCCCACAATTACTTCATTACTATGATAAAAATAATTTTGCTTTTTCATTTGGTCACATTTTTTCAAATTTATAGTATGAATAAAAGCATTATGAATGATGACTTTGGAAGATAAATGCACAAAATTAAACACATTTTATAGCAAACATCCATTAGATATAAACCAATTTATAGGCCAATAATAAAACCATGTTAAGGATTTTTGTTTAACCTGCCTTTATTCTGTATATACTTTGTTCAAAAACATGGCACTGTGGGAGAATTCATACATTGGAATTTGTTTTGAAAGATTTATCATTGATTATATAAGATGATTTTGTATTGAGATATAATTTAATGAACTGGAATATTAAATAATCTGTTTTCCTTTATTGTAGGTGATGGTATTTGTACATGCTCGAAATGCCACTGTAAGAACAGCTATGTCTCTTATAGAAAGAGCAAAAAATTGTGGCCAGATATCCTGCTTTTTACCTACCCAAGGACCTGAATATGGACATGCAGAAAAACAGGTAGGATACAAATTACAGCAAGCAATAAGGAACTAAAGCAAATAATGTGCCACAAATACCTGGTATTTTATATATGAAATATCCATCATCTACAAATTCTAAGACATTAATTTTATAGATTTATTGACTTCTTTCTTGACTAAATGATCTTTTGAAAGGTCCCACTACTTGATGTATTCACTTATTACTTCTTTTAATATGACTTTAATGTAAATAAAATAAGTAAAAATACTTATTCCTGATTTTTAAATTGTAATTAAAATGTGAAATGCAGTTAAATTTCAAAAAATATGTTATCTACTGGGTTTTTGTTCTTTTAAATAATTAATATTTTAAATTAATTTCTCAGTTTTAATTTCTGAGGTTAGTATTGACAGATATAACCTAAATAAACAAAAGGTCTTTAAAAAATGTAAAGGAACCCTGAAGCCAAAAAGCTTGAAAACATTACCTTACTAATTATTGCATGCTCAAATAACTAAAAAGCCATGGGATCACCTGCATTCTAGTTAGAAAATCAGATCCTCAGAATCTCAGGCTTACCAAATAAGAATTTACATTTCAACTTGTTTCCCAAGTGATTTCATGCACATTACATTTAAGAACTATTTTAGGTAATTTGTGTATTGGTACTCTTTTAAGATATATAGAAGATTTTATTTAATTATATCAATTTAATAATTTACATCAAGTTTGGACAAACTATGACAAAGGGCTTTGGGTGAACATCTATTTTTGTAATTAATGTTTTATTAGAAAACAGTCAGATTTATTCTTTTATTATCTATGACTGCTTTCTTAGACCCACAGAGGGAAGAATTGAGTAGTTGTGACAGAGACTGTAAGTTACTCTCTGTCCCTTTGCAGAAAAGGAATTCTGATTCTAATTTAAAACTATAAAAATAAATTTTAAATTTAAAAATCCTTTGACATAAATAATAGTAATTTCAACATTTTTATATTCATAACAAAAGATTTAACTGATCATTTACAGTTGCCAGACATTGTCTTTATACTTCACATTTATTATCTTAATAAAACATAATTTTCATGATTGTACTGTTTTATTTTTTATTTATTTATTTTAATTAGGTATATATGACAACAGAATGCATTTTCAGTCATTGTATACATTTGCAGCACAACTTTTCATTTCTCTGGTTGTATACAATGTAGCATCACACCATAACTGCAGTCATACATGTACCAATGTTAATGATTTCCATCTCATTCCATGATCTTTCCTGGCCCCATTATAAGTTTTGTTTTACAATTTCATTTTGACATTTTAAATTCTGAAGCCAATGCCAGTTATTGTGAACATCAGATTCTCTCAATTTATAACTGTGAAATTTATTTTCTTTATTTTTTTCACTTTATAAAATATTTTAATAAATAAATTTATTATATAGCTTTGCATTCTTCTGATTGTTAATCGTGAATTTATTAGTTTTTGAAAAGTCAACTTGGTATTTGCAAATTCTATTTTATTTCTTTAGAAATAGAAAGCAGCCCTATTGTGTTTAAAAAGCCAACCTTTGAGAGCCACCTTGTGGATTTCTGGTTACTGCATACCTCTTATTTCTGAGAGCTATTGGTATTCTGTATAATTTATGTTCTTTTTCTAATTGTTGTAATAATATTTAACTCTTATTGAATGTTTCTATTGCTTAATATAATTAATTCAGTCCTCACAACAACTGATGGTGGAGATTGGTTCTATTTTTCCTTGATTATGGCATATCTGTATTCAAATATGCATGGAATTTATTCTGTGACATATAGTTACAATTTATACAGAAACATTTTTATGTTGTGTTTATTTAAGGCAGTGTCACCAATCACAAACTCACAGATCACTATGCTGATAAAGAAATAATACAAGAAATGGAAAGATTTAATACAGTTGGGGTAGACTTGAAACTACCTACTTACTATTATATCTTTTTTAAAAAACTTTTTTAAAAAATATTCTTTTCGTTGTAGATGGACACGATACTCTTATTTTACTTATTTATTTTTATGTGATGCTGAGGATTGAACCCAGTGCCTCACTGGGTTATTAAATAGCTTTTCACTGAGTATCGAACCTCAGTGGTGAGGCAAGGACTCTGCCACTGAGCCACAACCCCAGCCCAGGTTATTATCTTTTGCATAATTGTATTATATTTGTTTTTTATCCTGATTCAACTGTTACTGGATTTTTTTTTAAAAAAAATAAGAATGAATTCCTAACACATCTGTTGTATATGTGTTTTCAAGAAGCATTGTCTTGCTTACCATTATATTCCCATCCCTTCACGTAGTGTTTTTCTGATAGCAGGAATCCCCAAATTACTTTTTTTTCTTGCTTTTATTATTCTAAGGCAGACATTATAATAGGTGCTTTCATTTTAACTTTCTCATACGATCTGCACTATTATTCTGTCCTTTAAAGATTTTTATACCCATTTTATAGATAAACTAAAAGGGAGAGTAAATAATTTTCCCAGACACTTCTATCTAAATCATGATTTGAACCAATATGACTCCGAAGTCCACCCTTTTCACTATACTGTGTTCTATTTATTCAAAAGCAAAAAGATTGGATCCCATATGGGACTTCCTAAAGTCTTTAGGGTATTGAGTTGTGTTTTCTTTTCTTTTTTAATGAAATAGAAGAAAATTTCTTCAACCTAACTCTATCCCTTACTTCTCCTAAAGATATTTTAAAAAGTGAACTTTTTTACAGTGCGTATTATAACAAAAGATAAAATAATCTTGCCAAGTGTAGTGGTGCATACTTGTAATTCTAGCTACTTGGAAGGCTGAGACAGGATGATCCCAGGTTCCAAGGTCAGCCTGGGCAACTTGGGAAAACCCTGTCCAAAAAGGGCTTTAGATTTAGCTCAGCGAGAGAGCATTGCCTAGCATGTGCAAAACCCTCAGTTCATTCCTCCATATTGCAAAAGTGTGTGTGTGTGTGTGTGTGTGTGTGTGTGTGGAAGAGAGAGAGAGACAGAGAGAGAGAATTTTCTGAATGCTTTCTCAGAGTCCCAGAATTTAATTTTTTTTATTGGTAGTCCTATTAACTTTCTAACAATTCCAAGGAAGCTATTATTACAGTGATAAGAGATATTTCTTCCTACATTTTGGAAAGTGGGAAATTAAGCACTCAAAACATTAAAATGAAATTACAAGGTACATCTGCAAGTATAGTACATAGAAATTTAGCCTCATGACTCCTGTTAATGGAAATACAGTTTAATCCCTGCTGTTCCATACTTACTCTACCTCAGAGTGTTTAACATACCATCTCAATTCCTCTGTTAACAAGAAAGACCTTAAAAGCACTTCTTTATAGTTTTATTTAATATGATATAACCTTGTTTGTTTAAATAATAAAACTCCACTAAGAAACCTTCCATTTTCCCTTCTGTCTCTCTCAAGATTCCCCTAATCATTCCCTTCACTAATACGAAAGTCACCCTCATAAGAAAATTCACCTGTATTTCTAAATCATCCACTGAACTAAGAAGACAGAGAGAGAAAAGTGAAAAGTGAAGGGCCCTGCCGCAGTCCGGCTGCAGCAAAATAACCGGGGGGTGACGAGGAACTTGCGTAGATTGATACAGCAGAAGTGGGAGCTGTTTATTGTAGGACAGGAGGGGTATATATACATTCCACACAGCTTATCTTAATTAACATAAACTAGATACAGCAGTCAACCAATAAGGAATCTCCACACTTAATGGCTCGCTGGCATTACTTCACAAACCAGTCCCCCTGGCAAAATGCTAGGCGCCATCTTGACTTGTTTACAGACTCTAACAGGGCCCCAAAAGTAGCTTGCAAGATAGAGATGGAACTCAAGGTTTCCTCTTGAAAGGGAGTATCTCATGAATTCCAAATGATGCTCAAAACAAGAAGTTGATAAAAATCTGGTATGATTTCAACTCTAGAGGCTATAAGACCTCAGGCATCTAAACATTTCTGAAACTTACTTTCTCTTCTATCAAATGGAATGATCATGGAGTATTTAATACCTATTTTAGTGGAGTTTTATGAGAAACAAGTGGGATGGCTTTGAAATCATTTTGGAAACTGGCTGAAACTGATAAGACTTTAAATATATTGTAAAACTCTATTTTTAGAAAACTTATATTGATAATGAAATTTTAAGGTGGTGAAAGGATAATGAGCAGTATGGATTCAATTTTCCTAATTTACCCTGCATAGTCATATTTTTTGTTTGTATGTTTGTTTGTTTTTGTATTTGTACCATGGATTGAACTCAGGGCACTTGACCACTGAGCCACATCCCCAGCCCTATTTTGTATTTTATTTAGAGACAGGGTCTCACTGAGTTGCTTAGTGCCTCACTTTTCCTGAGGCTGACTTTAAACTCTCAATGCTCCTGCCTTAGTCTCCCAAGTTACTGGGATTATAGGCGTGTGCCATGGCACCCAGCATAGTCTTACTTTTTTACCATCCCTCTAAGATACTGTCTCAAGCAACCTCTATGCAAAACACAGTATACCTCAAGGAATAGTAGTAGCTTATATTTGTAAATGTGTCAATAGGATGTAGATATTTTTATTATTGAGCCATTGTTTTCAGTTATGATTTTCATTTTAAGTTAAATGGGTATTTGAGTTAGAATCTTCATATTCTGTTTCATTCAAGGTATCAATCAAATCCATATTGTTTCCCTCTTCAGGGACAAAATTGTACATAAGTCTTTAAGAATTCTGATATTGTATCTAGTATTCCCACACATCTCTGTACTGAATTCTTCTGACTCATGGTCCCTGAGTCATATCATGGGCACTTTGATTCATGGGTACGAAGTATATATATATTAGTGATATTGAGAATTTTAGTTTTAGTTAAATATGGTCTGTCATGCAATAAGCCTAATGAATGTAGTTACTGGGAGTATCTATTGAAAACGTTAAAACAATAAATACCCTCAAGTTACTTTGAAATATAATTTTATGACTTTTGATTATCTAAATCTACAATAATCTTCTTAATTTCATAGATTCAGCATAGCTTTTAAATAAGTTGATGGCAACTAAATTGGTGGAACTTTGCTTAATACTAATAGCTTTTTCTTTTTCTGCTTCAACAACTTAAGAGTATCACTAAGACTAAATATAATTAGAATTTTCTCTTCCTGGAGTAGATGATTTCTGTTCACTAAAGACAGTAGCAAGGGTGTGTGATAGTTCACTATATTTTATTTTTTAACTTAACATCCAAAATATTATCTTCTCAGAGTTTATTTTTTCCTTAGCCATGTATCCTACCAATTTCATCTACCTATCCTACCTTATTTCATCTTGGAAGCTAATATAGTAATTCTGCTGTTTCAGCCACATAGAAAGGATATCAAAGTTTGTTAATATTTTTTAAATAAAGTCCAAAAAATTAGTAATAAATATCACTGACTGCTTAATTGGATTTTTGGAAATATGATTTCTGTTTTCAGTGGAATAAAACCTTAGCTCTAAGGAAACCTGAGTTTTAATTTTGACTTAAAAACTCTAATGTAGCTTTTTAACTCACATTTAATCCACAGTGTCTTCACTAAAAAATGAGTAGATACCTATATAATGAGATTTTTATAAAAAATAGGGTAAAATGTACCTCACCTGAAAAACAGAACACATTCTATAATGTTATCTATGACCTTTGAAGAGGTCAGAATATAAAAAGATAACAGCTTTAAAGACTGTTGCTGTCACCACATTTAAATTTAAAGCTTTTCGGGGTTGGGGTTGGGGTTCAGCAGTAGAGTGCTCTCCTAGCAAGTGTGAGGCCCTGGGTTCGATCCTTGGCACCACATAAAAAACAAATAAATACATAAATTTAAAGCTTTGGAGCAACAAAAATAATAATGAGTTGTAAAAGGCAGCAAACAGGTTGGTAGAAATACTGGTTACAACTACAATAGATTAGTTAATATTAACATCTTAATATGTGCATTTATTAAATTTAATAACTAAGAAATATAGCTGCCAATAAATGAAAAGTAAGCTAATGAATGAAAAAGAAGAAATAAAATGAGTAAACAAAATTTGGATGAAAATATCATTAGATGAAATACGTTAAAAAGATTATATATTCTTAACCCAAATAAATTATCAAAAACTAAACATTTTAATGTTCAATTCTGAAAATGATTTGAGGATTTAGCACACTCAGATTTTCTGTGGTATTTGATCAGTTCAATCCTGTTACAAAACATTTTGGTAATATATTTTAATAGCTAATCTTTTTCCAGCACCTTTAATCTTGGTGTCCTAAAATTGGACATTTTTTTAAATGAAAAAAAATTTTAATGAAAATTAAATCTACACCAAGATTTTTATTTCAATACACTATTTATAATTTAAAAAACATAGACATCAAACATATATAACAGTAGGGGATTTTAAAGTATGGTCAGCAATTCAATTTAATATTGTAAATTAATACATTATTTTAGACTGTATAATAAGACATTCAGTTTTAAATTAACTTGTCAATACTAATTTAATTGATTCATGTCTTGAGTGACACTCTAAATGATAAGTGATTAAACAAGGCAAGGCCTCTACCTCTGAGATACAGGCAACTCAACAGGATTTAGAAATGAATATGTACATACATATGTACTATGTAAATCAAGAAGTGTTATTGCTTAAGAAAAGGAAAAACAGTTCAATGGGAACACAAAAGGGAAGCAGATAAGTTTAAGCTAATGGTCTCAGATTTCAATAGACATTCCAAGGAGAAAAGAAGAAGACCATTAAAGGAAAATACTAGATATATTCAGAGAATAATATCTAGTCATTGGACTATAAGAGGCACAGAGGGCTAGGCATGTAGGTTTCGTTCAGAGCACGGAGGACTTAACTTGTATGCTTAGTTATGATGCTGTTGAAGACTATTGAAGAACCAAGTTTTGTGATGTGAATTCAAGTGCTAAAAAATGGAATTCATTTTCTCTTTCAGAGAGGAGAAATTCACCAAACCCAGGTGTTCATTTCACATGGCATACTTTGATTAAATGAGACACTTTTAAAGAAGGGAGTAACAGTGCGATTTTATCCTTATTTCTTCTATTACTTTTAAGTAAATTTTTGTTACAGCAACTTTTGTTCCTGTACTTTAAGATGTATTTTAGAAACATAGAATAGATTTGTTTTGAAAAAATTATACATCTTGTGAAGGAACCATGCTGTTTTCGGGGGGGGGGGAGCATGTTCATTGCAATATTTGAAAATACCTGAGTAGGGGAAGCACTATAAACACATACAAATTAAATAAATAATATTATAAATCCCTGGAGATACAGAAATTTGTAATGAGAAAATTTTAAGTTTAGAATCACATTTCAGTTTGTTTTTTTAATTATTATTTTGATATTTATTTAAGATAACCAGATGAATAAAGAGGATGAAAATTGTAGATGAGATTTTTTTTTGCTAACAAGGATGCTCTCTGGATTGCTAACTTGTTACTATGTTATTGTACTATAGTAATAATCAGGACAGACCATGTGGGAACCAAGACCATCTTTCAAGGGATATATCATAGAACAGAACCTATAGTACTTTCTTTCTCCTAAATTAAAGTGAATAATTAGCATAGCAAGATTCATATACGTTAATTGGTTATGGGGATTAGGCTATCTGTGTCATTATGAATGACTTTATACACATAAACCTCAAACTGTTTTTGCTGGTGGTCACTCAGCAAATATTTACTGAGTATAAAGTAGTTACCAGATCAATAAGTGTCAAGATGAATAGACTCTGCTGACAACCTGCTTATAGTGGATTGAGGAAGATATGCAATCTGTCATTCAAAATTCAGTAAAATAAGCTGTTCTACATAAAGTTTAAATTAAAAAAAAATTTGTATACAAAATTAGGTACTTGCCAGAAATTCAAGACTACTACTAGAACTTTTGAATTTAAGAATTAGTCACCATGATGATGATCAGCAGTTAAAAAGCCACAGCTGTGACTACACACAACTTCTAACATTCATAAACACACAACATAATGGTTTTCCCTTATAACTTTCAAATCTCGTATCTCTAAGATCTTGCTCGCCAGAAAATGACATAGCAGGGAGTTGATTATCTTTTCACTTCTATAGTCCAACTCTTGTATGGATACTTTTAATTTTTTTTAATTTTTTCTAATTAGTCATATGTGACAGTAAAATGCACTTTGATACATCATATATAGATGGATTATAATCTTTCATTCTGGTTGTACATGATGTAGAATCCTACTGGCCTTATATATACATAGGATAAAATGTCTGACTTATTCTACTGTCCTTCTTATCCCTATATCCCCTTTCCTCCCTTGATTGCCCTCTCCCTAATCTAAAGAAACTCTATTCTTCCCTAGCCCTCCCTGCATTATTGTGAAATAGCATCAGCATATCAGACAAAATATTCTGCCTCTGGGTTTTATGGGGTTGGCCTATGTTGCTTAGCATGATATTCACCAGCTCCATCCATTTACCTGCAAATGCCATAATTTCATTCTTCTTTAAGGCTGAATAATATTCCATTTTCTTTATCAATTCATCTATTGAAAGGCATCTAGGTTAGTTCCATAGATTAGCTATTGTGAATTGATCTGCTATAAATATTGATATGACTGTGAAAATTTGGGCCTACTTTTCCTTCCTGTTCATACAATACAGGAAGATTCACTGAGGAATGTGAGAGTACATGTTATGGGCTGTTTAACATTCTTTGCTTTAGAAATATTGCTTTGGAAATATTTTGAGGAAGAAACGTAGCTGTCCCTTTATCCTTAAAGACTTAGGATTATAGAAAGACATAGTTTAAATTACTGATTAAACAATTTATTTTAATTGCATTTATAATAATAAAGAGGAATAAAGTGCTAAGAAAAGTAGATTTGTGGTATCTGATCTAGACTGATGGTGTTAGAGAGTGGTGTTTGTTCATCAACATTGATATAGAAGTTCCCATGTGAAAGGAATGGAAAAAGCAAGGAGGGCAGATAGGTGTGGAAGGCAAACTCTCCGACATCAGAAAACAGTGGGACATTGAAGGAAAGTGTGGTGAAGGTACAATGACTAAGATAGAAACCAGAATGGCAGATGACAACTGTCATAAGATGAACCTGATGCAGTAAGCAAGAACTAGATCAAGAGGGCCTTGTAATTCATGTTCCAGGTTCAGTATTTTAGGTAATGTTTAGAGCAGTTGGAAGAAGGGCTTGGCTGGAACAGTATTGTGCTGATCACTACAGTGTCTGGGGATGGAGCTCGGTGGAAGAGCACTTGCCCACATTCATACAGCCCTGGGTTAAATCTATAGCATCCCCAAAAGTAAATTAATAATTTTTTTTTAAATATGAAAGTAACATTGCACATAGTCAGGACAAGAGGAGATTGGAAGAACAATTAGATGAATTCATGGAGAAGTATTTGGGAAATACTGATAGGACTTGGTCATTGGACTTACAGAGTTTGAGATGCCTGTGTACTTAGAAATATTAAATCACTATCTGGGTGGATACGAGTCTTGTATATCAGAAGAACATTCTGGTTTAGAGAGAGGATCAGTGTCAAAAGATCCCAGGACCAATTCTTAAGAGCTCTTAAGATTAAGTACAGGAAGATGAGCCAGAAAGGGACCTTCCAAAGGAGGTTAATGTCACAGAGGCAAAGGAAAATGTTTCAAGGAGAAGAAAGAGACCACCTATATGGAGAGTTGCTGTGAGGGGCCAAGTGTATTCACTGTATACTGTAGCAATTTATGCCCTAATTTAGAAGCTTTGTCATTCACATGGTGGGGAATAAAACCTATATAAAGTTGGCTAATGAGTGTTGAAATTAAAAAACTGAATGTAACTATCAATATTGCTAAGTTTGCTTATATAGAAAAGAAAAATGGATAGAGTCTAGGACCATAGACATGTTGTCTTTTCAAAGTGTAGGTGATCTGTTAATATTTGTGGGAACTATCCAAGATAGAGTGAGAATGAATTGAAAGACCTAATTCTTTATACATGAGAGAAAGAGAAGAAACCATGGATTACATATAGGCTCAGAGAAGTCAATTCCAAAGAACCAAAGGAGAGATTTTCCTTCAAAGGGAAAAGGGTACCTAAAAATGTAGGTTCTGATGGATGTAAGTTTATACGTAAATGTGCGAAGAAAGTCTTCTCTGGTATCTTGTATTTTCTTTATGAGTAGGTGGTAAGGTTATTCTGTGAGAGTTAAGGGTAAATAAGGTGGTCAGAAATTTTCAGAAAGTTGAAATTTTCTACTATAAATATTGTGAGTCATATGAGAACAAAATTACTATAAAGAAATCAGAGAACTGCTCTTCAGTGTTAAGGGCTTGTGAGATTATAGTCATTGATCTAGAATAATCTAAAGTTGCCATTGTATACAGTTTTTCCTAAGTGCTAATTGTCCTGGATCCTCCAAGTTTGGCATTTTGCCAGTCAGTTATGACAGAAGGGCAGATGAATTAAGAAACTGGCAAGAATGTGATTGAAACACTAGGCTCTGCTATCTAAACTAGAGAAAGAGTAAGAATAAAGGCCAAGTTGGGTAGGAGAAGGGTATTACTGTAATACAGCTGATAAATAGAAAGAAAATAGAAAAATTGTGATCTTTATGTATAATTAAGGACAAAAAGTGGGCTTTAACAAAAGAGGTGAAAGATCTATACAATGAAAACTACTGAACCCTGAAGAAAGAAATAGAAGAAGACCTTAGAAGATGGAAGGATTTACCTTGCTCATGGATTGGTAGAATTAATATTATTAAGATGGCCATATTATCAAAAGCACTTTACAGATTCAATGCAATTCCCATCAAAATCCCAATGACATTCCTTGCAGAAATAGAAAAAGCAATCATGAAATTCATCTGGAAAAATAAGAGACCCAGAATAGCTAAAGTAATTCTAAGCAGGAAGAGTGAAATTGGTGGTATCGCTATTCTAGATTTTAAACCATACTATAGAGCAATAGTAACAAAAACAGCATGGTACTGGTACCAAAACAGGTGGGTGGACCAATGATACAGAATAGAGAACACAGAGACCAATCCACAAAATTACAACTACCTTATATTAGACAAAGGTGCTAAAACCATGCAATGGAGAAAGGATAGCATCTTCAACAAATGGTGCTGGGAGAACTGGAAATCCATATGCAACAAAATGAAATTGAATCCCTTTCTCTCACCATACACAAAAGTGAACTCAAAATGGATCAAGGAGCTATGAGTCACACCAGAGACTCTGCATCTAATAGAAGATAAAGTTGGCCCTAATCTTCATCACATGGGGGTGGGCCCCAAATTTCTTAATAAGACACCTATAGCACAAGAGTTAAAACAAAGAATCAACAAATGGGATGAATTCAAACTAAAAAGTTTTTTTCTCAGCAAGAGAAATAATATGTGAGGTGAATAGGGAGCCTACATCCTGGGAACAAATTTTTACCCCTCAAACATCAGATAGAGCGCTAATCTCTAGAGTATACAAAGAACTCAAAAAGTTAAACAACAAAAAAGCAAATAACCCAATCAACAAATGGGCCAAGGACTTGAACAGAAACTTCTCAGAAGAGGATATACAATAAATCAACAAATACATGAAAAAATGCTAACCATCTATAGCAATCAGAGAAATGCAAATTAAAACTACTCTAAGATACCATCTCACTCCAATAAAAATGGCAGCCATTATGAAGTCAAACAACAATAAGTGCTGGCGAGGATGCGGGGGGAGGGGAAAGGTACACTCATACATTGCTAGTGGGACTGCAAATAGGTGCAGCCAATTTGGAAAGCAGAATGGAGATTCCTTGGAAAGCTGGGAATGGAACCACCATTTGACCCAGCTATTCCCCTTCTTGGACTATACCCAAAAGACCTTAAAAGAGCATACTACAGGGACACAGCCACATCAATGTTTATAGCAGCACAATTCACAATAGCTTGAATGTGGAACAAACCTAGATGCCCTTCAATAGATGAATGGATTAAAAAATGTGGCATTTATACATAATGGAATATTACTCAGCACTAAAAAATAACAAGATCATGGCATTTGCAGGCAAATGGATGGCATTAGAGCAGATTATGCTAAGTGAAGTTAGCCAATCCCTAAAAAACAAATGCTAAATGTCTTCTCTGATATAAGGCAGGTGACTCAAAATGGGACAGGGAGGAAGTGCATGAGAAGAAGACTACCACTAAATAGGGAAGAGAGGTGGGAGGGAAAAAGAGGGAAAAGGGGAGTTGCATTGAAGATGGAAGGAGAACCTCATTATTATACAGAATACATATATGATGTTGTAATGACAAAAAGAAAAAACAGTGTGTCACATTAGATTGGATAGAGAGAAAGGATGTGAGAGGAGGGGAGGAGTAAGGAGGATAGGAAGGGCAGCAGAATAGAATAGACAATATGATTGATGTATGTACATTCCATGTATGTATTATATGTCAAAATACATTCTGCTGTCATGTATGACTAAAAATAAATAAACAAATAAATAATTCTCTCTCTCTCTCTCTCTCTCTTTAAAAAAAAGAGAAGAAACATTAGTTTGGCAAACTTGAAATATAGGAGGCTTTAACCAGAAATGGGGATGTTTGTGCTGTTGTTTCTGGTAGTATAGATGGGGATTGAGGACACTACCTGGAGTCTGTACAGCTACATTAGCCTGGGGTTTCAATCTCCCTGCTCACACTGTTATTATTAAGGTAGGAGCTTACCATTTTTGATACAGATTCGTGTGAGTGTTTAAACAAACCTATGGATTGATTTATTTAGAAAAAATATTGTGATTTGGCTGTTTCTTTGACATTGAATGTTAATTTGTATAAGAGAAAAAAAGATTTTCTCCAATAAAATTCAGTTTATATTGTAAAAATGTAACTATCACAGATAATGAAGGGATTATTTAAAGTACACTTTTGAGATTTTACTGTATTTGCCCAATTACAATATTCAGCTCTTCAGGATTATATTTATGTAAATTTTTATTAACTTTTCCTTATCTAGGGAAAATATATGCTGCCAAAAGTGGCGCCTTTATTGACCTTGGAATTTTAGATGTCATGCAGATATTTGGCCGAGCTGGACAACCACAATTTAACAAATTTGGGGAAGGAGTCATTATAACAACACATGATAAACTCAGCCATTACCTCACTCTGCTCACTGAACAAAACCCAATTGAGAGTCAGTTTCTGGAAAGTCTTGCAGATAACCTAAATGCAGAGGTAAGATCTGATCAGTCAAAAGTTGGGATAGAATTGTCAGCTTTAAGAATAACGATAAAGGTTGAGTTGGTTTTTGCTTTGTAGTATTTAGGAATACAGATTATGCCATATAGTCATAAGACAAAAGAGGCTGGGGCGGGGGTGGGGGCAATATTGTTGATTAACTCACAGCAGTATAAATGTAGACAACAATACTGACAGGAACTCATTGTTAAATGATCACACTTGCAATCTATGAGGTTTTGCTATAGATCAGAAATACAATCCAAAGTTTACAAATCAGGGAAACAGAAATAGCAATAACTGATATGTTTAGTGCTCAATTGATGATTAATATTTGTATGAAGTTTTTCTAAGTTTATGAAGCTTTCTTGTCTTTATTATGTCATTTGATTAACTTTGTTATGTAAAATGTGATTGCCTAAATTGAGCAAGAGTATAATGTTTTATTTCAAATGTGTGTGTGTAGGCATGTGGGAGTGTGTGGGGGGAGACTTTAATAATAGGATTTAAATAATGGACCTGGAAAGCATAGGTAACATCTCAACTGGTAAAGAAAATAAACATTTTTACAATTTAGAGTATATATATCAAAATTTCAAATGAATGTTCAAAATTCAGTGCAATGTTTTCATGACATTTTTAATGACTGCACAAGTATTCAACGCTTTCCTACCTCAGTATCCTTTTTTTTAAACGTTAACTCAAATAATTTAGGTAATTTAGCTAAGATGTAAATATTGAATAAATGAATGAAATATTCACAATCATATTCACAATCAAATATTACTTATTGTGTGCAAGTCTATCTGGCGTACTTCTTAAACAGCCTATAGAAATTCTATTTGGGTTATTTACAAGACTCTTTATAGAGAATGAAAGACACACTCTACATTATGTAGTTCTTCTGTTAAGAAGCATATAGTCCAAAAGGAGAAAAAAAGACATGGAAAGAAAATGACAACTTCCATAGAAGTATTTGGTAGAAGGAGAAAATATGTTTGACCTGGAGCTATCAAAAAAGGCTTTTTTCATGATGATAGTAAACTTAGTCTGAGTTCAGAGGATAGATAAGTTTTGGAAGATAAGTTTGAAAGTAAGAAGAAAAGCATGAAGAGCACTGGTTTACCTTAACAAAATTACAGGACAACAAAAAGAGATTAGAAAATAAAATTTGACTCCAAAGAAAATATTATCATAGCTCAATTTGGGTCCTCATTGCCTACCCTGATTGCATGGTGTAAGTAATTAGGTCTGGGCCAAGAGTGTTTATAATGGGATAAAATCTATTACTGTAAAGTGATGGTAATAGTAGCATAGGCTAGAGACTGCTGGGTGCTTCATGTACATTCTCTTATTCTGTCAGACCTGCTAAGTAGATATTATACTCAGAGAGACGTGTAACTGCCCAAGGTAACTAAGGTATAATTTTTAGAACTAATATTCAAACTGAGGTCTATTTAGCTCTAAACAAGATCTTTTCATTGTTGCTTAAGACTTCTGTAATCTTATTAAAAATGTAATAAGTTAAAATAATACATTACCCTACATTAGGATTCTCCCTTCTTTTCTTCTAAAACCTGAACTAAACATTTTCCAAAATGGTAGCCATAATTTCTCTTACATTTACAGTAAAAAAGAAAAAAATAATCCTGTTTTTCTAAAATTTTGCTTAAAGAGCATGTCAAGGAATACTAAATCTTAGCCAACCTAGAATTAGTTCTTGATAGTTTTTGTAAGTGGTAGTCACAATGTGTTGATGTTATTATGCAGAAGACACAAAGTAAGTAAAACAATGCTCTTGTCCTCAGGGAACTCTTTCCTGGGGACAAAAAAGTAGCACCAGTGAAACTGTTTGATCTAGCCCTGCGTATAAAAATAGCCCTTAAGTTCATCTCATATTAATTAAAGTACTTGCTAGAAATGTCATTTTCAGAAATGTCAACACACTCTGAGCACAATTCCATTTAGTGATATAAAGGGCATTTAAATAATGAAACATATAGATTGAAATTTTTAGTTACTATAATGAAGTATAGCCATTGCTAAACTTGCTCATATCTTGGTTTACTGGAAGAGCTCCCTGTTAACAGTAAATTTTCCTGTTAATGAAACAAACTCCTTTAAATTATAGTTGAATGTGAAATTAAACTTAGTCATCTGTACACATCAAGTGTGAAATTGGTTTATAACATAAATCTGTGCTGCATTCTTAATGGATTTGTAAGTCCTTAGACTGCAAAAAATCTTCGCAAGACTCTAAAATATCACTAATCAACATAAAGGCTATGTTAGGATAGTAACGTTGCCTTTATTAATATATTTGATTTCATGAATATCAATTTTGACCATGAATTTAGAAAAACTGGAGAAAATATTTTATGAAGTATAATTTAATGCAAACATTTTATGAGACATCTTTGCTGATTGATGCCTAATGGGGCTAGCTCCATAATGCTAAAGTTGAGAAGTAACAAATCCCTTTCCTATAAAGAGCCACTTAACTTTGCACTGTGAGAAACACTGATATATGTGTTTCAGGCTAATTAAAATGTATTCATGTTGCTCAGTGTATATTCTGTTCTAATCCCTATATTCCATACTTTATAACTTTGTTAATTATTCTATATCCTAACATATACATTCTTTGTGTACACAGAGTTCTTGTCTCTTCGGGATGTTGTACATATACTGGCTCTTGAGTTAAAACCTCCACAGTCTGACTACCCTTCCTACTTCCATTACTCCTCAACATAGGCCTTCTGCCCTAGGAAGCTATTACTCTACTCACTTCACTTAGAAAGGCCCAATTTTCTTTTTTATGAAATATAGATGCTCTCATTGTGAAAATTCAATAAGTGCCTGTTCCAAGTTGGTAGGCAATATAGTATCACTATTTTCTGATAATCCCTTCATATGTAGCCCTACTTAAGCAGTTCATATATAGATATAAATACATATATGTATCTATATATATATACATGCTCATGATTATATTTGCTTATTTAGTTTCTAAAAACTATGTAAAGTTGATAGAAACCATATGAATGGTTTTAACTAGTTTTTTAAAACACACATATAGTAAAAATAAATAAGATAACCTTAAAGACTAAAGTTTAAATAGATAAATATGAAGTGACACTTGAGTCTGATTTCTGAATTACCAAATTTGGAGTGGATTTTATTTTTGTTAAAGAAGAATAAAGGTTATTACACTATACACTAATGCCACTTTTACATGTTATATTTTTGAGAATCTGGTATGTGCTAGACTCTGTGGGTGTTGGGCTTCTATTTGTCATCTTAATTACTTATACATGCCTCACCTCCATGACTAGAGAAGTGAGGTCAGGGACCATACTATTTGTTACCATATCCATTGTACCTTAAATAATATACAGGCTTTTTAGTGGCTTGTTATGATTATGGAGATAAATGAATAAATTTCAAAAAGAGGGAGTATGGAAAAAATACAAGTTTTATGAAAGGCTCCTGTATCAGATAGCCACTAGGGGACAGCAAATATTTTCAAGAAAATTTTTATTTTTGTCACTAGGTGGCATTCAAGGATTAGTCTCAAAATAAGGTATACCTTTACATTTATTTTTCTGGGTAATCTCTTCCCTTTTAATGAATTATTAGAAGATTTCCATTACATGATCTAATTTTTGATACCTACTTTCTCTTTTAATCTTATAACTAATAGCAATAGGTAATTATTAATGTTTATTTGATAAGTCTGATTTTTAAATTGTCCTTTATAAAATTTTTGTCTCTTGAGATTTGTATAGTATTTTAAAAGAGCATCATAAGGTCAAAAGGGAATGAATATAGGTTGTTATTTTAAAGTAATAACATAAAGTAATAAGGGAATATAGGTCACTATAAAAGAATATATGGGTTATATGACAATACAGTTTTGACTTGCAAATAATGAAATCAGAAATAGGTGAGACTGTCAGCTATTTATCCGTATCATCAAACTAGTTTTATTTACCTAAGCAGACTGGAAAAACTGTTTAAACATCCTACACAACTCTCTTATTGGCTTAATTTTAATTCGTACTGCTTTTCATTTTCTGAAAAGCCTTACAGTTTAGATTTAGGAAATGTACTTATTTACCTATAGTATGGATGGCTTGGTCATTTTTAAGTAAACTAGTGGAAATTTAGAAGTAAATAGGCAGAATCTTCTTACATATTTTTACTTTTGGTTGTCCCACTTTTTAAATAACAAATACTAAGATGTAATATTATAGTGAAAATTATATGCTGCTGTATCTCATCTTCAATTTACTCAAGATAGCTAAATGTACACTTTTTTGTTGTTGTATTTTGTTTTGTTTGGTGCTCGGGATTGAACCTAGGACCTTCTGCATGCTAATCATGTACTGTACCACTCCCAGTCCATCTACATTTTTATTTCATAAAAAAAGTTATATAGAATTAAAAATTATAGGGATTAAATCAAACATGAAGATTTTTATTTTCTTCAATATTAGTACAAAAAGTGGCAGCATTTGTTTTCCTTCCCCCCCCCCTCCTGTGAGTGAAAAAAAGGGTTCAGGAACAAATTTATAGCTGTCAAGTTTCACAACTTTGGTTAATTGTTAAAGTAAAAAGGGTACTTTAAGTAAAAGCAGAATTACTTCCTATAAATCCCTTGCTTAAGGAACTATTTTAAGAATACATCTCATTAAAATTCTGCATTAATATCCTTATCTAATCATTTCTTTCTCTTTATTACACAGATCTTATATTTATTGTTGTGTTCTAAATTATTAACCTTTGGTTGTATTTAATAAATATATCACAAATCACTTCAAATGCTATATTAAACATTATATTTCCTTTCTGAATATAATCTAAACAATCATCCAATGATTACTTTGGTTCAAATGTTTAATTATCATATTTTCCCTTTGCTTGTTTAAGTTTACCAATTAAAAAAAACACCCTATTCTTGTATGATTTTGAAAGCATAAATATTAATATGTCTAAATACCAATAAATTTGCTTTGTTTTGTGCAGAAATAATTGCATTTTCCATTATATGCATATTGTATGTTTATACTGGCAGTCCTCTAAATGAGTATCTCTAAAGGTAAAAACTACCATTGTACCTTCTATGATTTTATTGATGACAGTGCACAGAATCAGGATAAAGATCGACAGAATTAATAATATTTCATTTTTTTTAATAATGTTGAGTTTTATTTTTGAATATTTATTCATTTTATTTATTTTTTTATGTGGTGCTGAGGGTTAAGCCCAGTACCTCACATGTGCTTAGACAAGTGCTCTACCTATAACCCCAGTCCCATATTTTGTTATTTTTATTCTGGTACACTTACATTTAAACATATTCAGTCGTTTTATTATATAAAATGAAACTAAAACAAAATGGATACAGAATATGAAAAAGAATTAACAAATGTCAAAAATGTCCTTAATGCTATGTAGAATTAAAATCCATACAGGGAAAAATAATCAAATGTCATCATTGAGTAAGTTCAGTTTGGGAAGATAGCATTTCCAATGTATTATTCTCAATGAAATAAAGAGGACTGCTGTTTTCGTTAACTGAGAAGTCATTTCAATGATTGTGCTTACCTTCTTTAAATGTAGCACAATGTTCTATTTTGAAAACTTAATTTCTGGCAGAATGGCCTTTGCTGTAATGTTTATGTTTGACTTTAATGCATTACTTTAATTTCTGTTGTATTTTTGATTTGCAGATTGCTCTGGGAACAGTCACAAACGTGGAAGAAGCAGTGAAGTGGATAAGTTACACTTACCTTTATGTACGGATGAGAGCAAATCCATTAGTGTATGGCATCAGTCACAAAGCTTATCAGGTAGAAAACTCAAACTCATTTATTAAAAAAAAACACCTCAAACCTTCTTTTTGGTTCTGTAATCCTTTCATGATGTGAGGATAAATATTTGCTACTGTTGCCTCATCTGAAAAGAGTTATGGACCTACAAGAAAAATAAAGAGCCTTAATCGTTTTTTAAAATACACTAAAGAAAATTAAATTGGTTCCTTGTAATTATTTTGCTTTATTTGAATCTCTTTTCCCATTAAAAATGTTAATATTTGTATCATTCTATTTTTCAGGTATATTTCTGTTAGATGTTAATATTTCACCATGATTTTTTACTCTGATACATTTAGTTTTAGAAATAACCAGATATAAGGAAACATATAGACCATTTTTAAAAATAGGCTTGTTATATACAATCTACTCCTCCTGTCATGTCCCTTCTATGCCCTATAGTGAAATTAAAAGATAGCATTAATGCATTATTGTCTTAACAGTTTAAAGTTTGAAGTCAGTTTCATGATTCAATGTGTATGCATAGACAGAGAATTAGATACATGTGATAACAGGTCTTCCTATGAGCTTTATAGTTGTGTGGTCCATGTGGCTTACAGATCTTGTCTTTTCTTTAGAACTATGCTTTATATACTGTAAATGCTTCCTAATTACAGATAAAATTCAATTGTAATGTAATAAAAACATTATTTCACCATCTTCATATGATATTTACCTCTGTTAAGTCAAAATTATTAAAGAGGTTGAGTCTAGCTCAAAATTATAGTTTTTCTCTATTTACCAATACACATACACACAAATATTGTATTGATAAATACACATACATATGCATTGTGTGTGTGTGTTTGTGTGTGTTTTTGTGTGTGTATTGGTAAATGCTATATATAAATATATGTGCATTTGTTATCAAAGCAATTGCCAAACTTTTGGGGGTTTTCTTTCATTTTTCCTTTTCTTGTGCAGTAGATTTTGCCATGGAAGAGTTGAAACTTAAGACTTAGGGGGAAAAAATTAAGAATAGTAGTAGCAACTAGTTCTGAAGCTGGTAATCTGAAATTCTTAGGTTTTTATACTTGGGTCTTCTTTACATGGAATTCCACTACTTTTCTGCTTCTCAGTTAAAATATGTGCTGATCTTCAAATGGATGTCCTATTTTATAAGCGATTTGTTCTGTTATAAAATATAACTGCATTATAATTTGATTTTATACATTTTTATATTTATTAATTTTTAACTGGTACTCTATAGACACACATAAAGGTGGGATTCACTGTGGGTTATTCATACATGTGCATAGCATAATTTGGTCATTTTCTTCACTCAGTTCCTCCCTTTTCCATCCCTTCTCCCTTCCCTCTGTACCCTTTATCTACTCCACTCATCTCCTTTCTATTTTCATGGGACATTGCCCACCCCCTTTCCCTATTTTTTCAGTTCTTTAGTTAACTCTTGCTTCCACATATGAGATAAAACATAAGGCCATGACTTTTTGAGTCTGGCTTATTTCACTTAGCATGATGTTCTCCAGTTCCATCCATTTGCCAGCAAATGCCATAATTTCATTCTTCTTTATGTCTGAATAAAACTCCATTTTGTACATATACCATATTTTCTCCATTCATTCATATGTTGATGGGTACCTGAACTGGTTACATAACTTGACTATTGTGAATTGTGCTGCTGTGACTCAGCAATCCCAAAAGACCTTGCACTTTTTAAATAATGTGTCTCTAAATGTTCTCATCACAAATATGATCATTGTGAGAATAGTCAAAGGTACAATGAAAATTTTCTGAAGGACTAAAAATAAACAGGTACATGTATTTTCATGGGCTAATTATCCCTTGGAATAAGATAAACACATCAATTGATTTTTAAGTATTAGGTTAATATCAAAAGTTTTTTTTTGCAGTATAATGAAAACTTTAACATAGTTTTCTGGTATTTAAAAAAGAGGAATTTTGTTTCATTCCAGGATTCATAGTTTTACTGCCTTTACAGTTCTATGTCTTAACTTTTTCTTTAACTTATATGTTTTGATTTTGTTGCTCTGTAAATTTGTATCTATAGAATTCTTATAGACAAACACAAATCAAGTAGTTTGGACCTTATATATATAGTATCACTTATAGCAAATATTTGCTGATAATACTCTTGATGCTGTGTTACTTATCTGCAGTTGGTTTCCTTTTGCCTCATTTTTCTGATTTTTAAAACTCTTTAAGCTGCCATAAAGATCTAAATTAAAACAAATGGCAGAAGTTTTAACTCATTAGATTTCTAAGGAGTTTTACTACTTCTCCAACCCCCCATTAAAGGTCATATTTTACATTATTGCTCATAACAAGAGATTAATCTTCAAGACTTAGATGTGTATGGTTGTGCACTTGTACAGTATGGTTGTGCATGTATGTACGTAGCAACAAGAATATTTGTTAATATTTTGTATTAAATATCAATTTATACTTAGAAAAAAATTATAATAGTTTTAAAACTATATAAAAGTTCATTGTCAACTTCATTTTATTCTTTGTTTCTATTATTATTATAGACAAAATGGATTTTTCCACCAACAGTTGTGAAAATTACTAAAACAATAGAATTGTATTTTTAAGGGGATAACCATGCATTTATTTTTGTGTATTTTATCTTTGACAGGGGAAAGCATTCTTGCCATCATATCTCCAAATGACTGATAAAATAGAAGTATGGTTTGGTAATTTAAAGTGCCTATTTAAGTGTGGGAAGGAGAAGATGATGTTTTTTTTTTTTCCTTATACCTGATTCCCTGTGTCTATAACCTTAAAGATTATAAGACCACGGAAGAATAATATTGGTATCTAAAGAGACTGAACAGATTGATAATTCTATTATCCAAAAGACTATGCGGATTGATAATTTTAACGAATTTTAAAGCTTTCTTTATTTAATCAAATAAAATCTTTTCTAGTTGTTTCTTAAATGTATAGAATGTACTTCAGAAATTATAATTGAAAAATCTCTGATCAGCAGCTTCAATACTGGGTATATACCCAAAGGAAATGAAATCAGTATGTTGAAGAACATCTGTACTCCTGTGTTCATTGCAGCACTATCCATATTTACAAAGAAATGGAAACAGCCTAAGTGTTCATCAGCTTATGAATGGATAAAGAAAAATCTAATACCTATATACAAATGGTGCATTATTCAGCTATAAAATAAGACTGATATATTGTCTTTGCAGTAACAGGGATGGAACTGGATATCGTTATGTTAAGTGAAATAAGCTAAGTAGAAAAGAACAGGTACCACCTGATCGCATTCATGTGTAGAATCTCAAAAAGTTGATCTTACAGAGGTTGAAAGTAGAATGGTGGTTACCAGGGGCTGCAGAGAGGGATGGGGAGAGACTGATCAATGAGTACTAAGTTTTTACCATAAATAAATGATAAATGTTAGACTGATCAATGAGTACCAAGTTTTTACCATAAATAAATGATAAATGTTTGAAAGACAGTTGTATTTAATCTGTTTTAAATATTACACAATATATTTTTGTATTGAAACATCACTTTACACCATTGATACATATAATTTTATGCTTCAAAGTACCAGTTCAAAATTAAGTTTTTAAAAGTCTAATTAAAACATCAAGAAAAAAATTTAACTTCCATAAATGGGTATTTGTTTGCAGGTGAGAGTTTTTTTTTTAGAATTGAAGTGTTTATATTTCTTTCCTGTAGATTGACCCAACATTAAGAAAGCATCGAGAACAGTTAGTCATTGAAGTTGGACGAAAACTAGACAAAGCTCAGATGATTCGTTTTGAAGAGAGAACTGGTTATTTTTCCTCAACGGATTTGGGTAGAACCGCCAGCCACTATTATATTAAATACAATACCATTGAGGTAATATTCTGAGAGGAACAAATGCAAAAATGTTTGTTTTTATAGGCAAATACTTTCTAGACTTCAAAATATATTAATAATGCCAAATAACAAAAGCAGCTTATGAGCAAATACATTTATTTTATATGAATTCAGCAATATACTTTCAGTAATGACAAGAAAAAAAAATGACTTTAGATAGCAATGGTGCTCTCCTGCCATCCTGTTTCATGAACATATCCTAAACACTACATACACCTGAAATAGTTGAAGCCTATTGGTGAGTCTTATGGAGTGAATGCCAGAATGATTTTAAGCTGGAGTTGATAGCTTAATGATTTCCTTGAATAAAAAGTTGAAAACTTAATTGCATGTTAGTAAGAAACACTAAAGAAAAGTTTAAGAAACTACTAATATTACCAAGTCAGCCTGTTTGTACTAGATGATTAATTTAAGGAACTTTTAAGGCTAATTTTGACCATATAATTATAAGAGAATTTGTTGCTTTTTAACAACGTCCGGTTTAAGATGATGTGATACTTTAATATTTTTACTTTTAAAAAGCATATACATTTCTTTATGTGTTTTCATGTACATATATCAGTACATGTCAATACAATGATAACCCGTTGAGAGAATACTTAAATTTGAAGAGATTGAGATAGGTTAAGTTGAATTTTTATACTTTTTTCAATAGATAGTCAGTGTGTTTTGAGTTTTTTCTTAAATTCATTTTTGCCTTTTGTACATAAAGTTGTTTTTAAAATAGAAGAATAGAAATCATCAAAAAGAAAAACTCAGTTTATATGAAATCTCAGGTTTGTAGATTTAATATTTGCTTATATATAAAACAGGTTTCAGAAAAACACCTTTATGTGCTTACTGGGTTTTCCTCATTTTTTCAGAATAACCTATATGTGTATGACACTAGATTTCTGCAAGACCTCTTCATATATTATCTCAGAGCTGTGATTTGGTGGTTCCTCACTCCCAGACCTAGTCCTTCACTCCTTGTATCACCTACTCTCATCTCTCATTTTCTCTATGAGACAGCCTTTCTCATTTGTCCTCTTGCTAGTAGACTGCTGCCAAATTACACCCTAACACTTTGTTTTTTGCAGTTCTTTTTCAGCAACTCTAGCCCTGTAGTACCTTTGTCTTTTCCATATGGCCTTTAACTGATTTTTCTGTGTATTCTCGCTATTCATATTTTGAGACTCTTTGAATTGCATGTTGTCTAGTTATTTCCCTCTGAATTTTATATGATATATGTAAGCTTATAATTAGTAAATGGCGCAGATTTCCATATGCCTATACTGAGGTCAAGACCAGAATGTTATGTTGGACATTTTTAGACATTTAGTATAGATTTCAATAATGATTTTACTGATCTTTTTTGGTTCTAATGGCTTTTTTAACTATGTTTAGGAGTGTTTTTTAATCTTTCACAAATTTGATAATATCTTTTGATCTTCTATTTTAATTAAATGTGACACTTACTTTGGTAGACCTTTAATGAACTCTTCGATGCTCACAAAACAGAAGGTGACATATTTGCGATAGTCTCCAAAGCCGAAGAATTTGATCAGATCAAGGTAATATTACTTGAAGTTTCAGTCAGATATTACATAGACACATTTATTCATTTATGAAAGTTTGAAATTAATTGTTATTCCTGATAAAATATAAAAAAGCCATATGGCATATTTGGAGTATCAGCAGTGTTTTCTATTGTACAAGAAAACTCAGTGTTCTAGATAATAATATCATAGCATACCTAAAATCATGCTTTGCGTTGTATTCCAAATCAAGAAATTTAAATAGGTTTTGTATTAATGAATTTATCAAAAAATATATTCTATATGTTTTGGTTTATTTGCAATATAGTTCACTGAAGAAAATGTTAAGTAAATGCATGATTCAAATTAATAAAGAAATTAATATTTCTGTACCCATATTATAATTTAATGTTATTAACAGTGAAAACTTTAATACTTTGAAACAGTACTTCACAACTTTAAGCTATGAATGCATTATTTATACCATATAAAAATATATGACTATAATGAATGCATTTGAAGATAATCAAGTTTGCCCTAATCAGTTTGGGCAGAGGTTTTACCCTGGTCAAATAAAAAATGAAACCTCATCAATTGAAGGATGGTGAGGTCAGATGACTTATTTTTTGTGGCATATCAAATTTTTATGTGTCAATGGCAACTTTAATATTGGTGATGAACAATAAAATATAATTGTACCCACCTCAACATAATTTCATGTTATATTTTGTAATTTACCTATGGGAAAATTACTGGGTTTTAGCTGTACAAGAGTAAAATATTACATTATACTAAAAGGCAACCTTAAAAACATGCAATGTGGTTTTTCAATAAATTAGACCAAATATTACTATAAAAATATTGACTCTTCTAGGTCAGAGAAGAAGAAATAGAGGAGTTAGATGCTCTATTAAACAATTTTTGTGAACTCTCAGCTCCTGGAGGTGTAGAAAATAGTTATGGGAAAATAAACATCTTACTTCAAACTTACATCAGCCGAGGAGAGATGGATAGTTTCTCCCTTATATCAGATTCTGCATATGTTGCACAGGTAAGAATCTTACTCCCCATTTTCTCTTCTTTGTTTATCTCTAGAGACCAAGGAATTAATTCTGTTATTCTGTGAATGCATTACTTTGAGAAATTCTATGAACTACTGTTACTCCTTAGAATTAAAGATATTGATTTGTACATCTTTTATGTAACCTGTGCTTGTAAATCAGGACTGGGGGTGAAAGTTAGTGGTTGGTTTGGCTTAGTAACAAATCTATCTTATATAAGGCCTAATATATATATATTCCAGTATGATAGGTCTCTGATTTTAAATATTGAATACTGAAAGAAAATTGTTCCCTAAACCTACAGCTCATTTAATTTATAACTTTTAAAAACTGCTATGGTAAAAAAATTCTTCATATATTTAAACCGTCATGTGAAATAAAGTAAGTTATTTTTTGTCTTCTTTGTCTTTCATTTTCTTTTCTTTTTTTGTTTTGTTTTGTTTTTGGTAATACTACAGATTGAACTGAGAGGCTCTCTACCACTGAAATATATCCTCAGTCCTTTTTTACTTTTTTCTTTTAATTATTTATTTTAGTACTAGGGATTGAAACCAGGGGCCCTAAATCACTGAACCACATCTCTAACCCTTTCTAATTTTTTATTTTGAAACAGGGTCTTACTAAATTGCTCAGGGCCTAGCTAAATTTCTGAGAATGGCTTTGAACATGCAATCCTCCTTTCTCAGCCTCCCACACAAGCACACCTGGCTTTATTTTTTCCTTTAAGACAAGGTCTTGCTACATTGCTGAAGCTGACCTTGAACTTATGATTCTCCTCCTCAACCTCTGGAGTTGCTGGGATTGCAGGTGTGTGCCACCATACCTGATTCCAAGCATACATTTTAAAAAAAATTCCTAACATTTAAAGTATATATTTTTATTATTTTTATCTAGAAATACCTTTATTAAGTTGAGAATTAAATTTTAATCTTATATAATTACGTTATCTCATGTAATCTATTATATTTGTAATTTTATTCAAAGATTTAATATAGAAAAAGTATGTTCTAAATTTTTTTTGTTTTAAAATTCTTATTTTTATTTAAATGTAATGAATAGTGTTGTTGGGTTTTTAAATTTTATTTAATTATTTTAATTAGGTATACTGGACAGAAGAATGCATTTTGATTCACTGTACACAAGTGCAGCATAACTTTTCATTTCTCTTGATTGTACATGATGCAGTGTCACATCATATGTGCAGTCATTTATGTACCTAGGGTAATAATGTCCATCACATCCCACCATCTTTCCTTCTGCCTCCATATCCCCTCCCCGTCCCTCCCTCCTCTTTGCCCAATCAGAATACCTCCATTTTTCCCATGCCCTCCCCCATTATGGATCAGGATCCACTTATCAAAGAAAACATTCAGCCTTTGTTTTGGGGGGATTGGCTTTCTTTGCTTAGCATGATATTCTCGAACTCCATTCATTTTTCTGCAAATGCCATAATGTTATTCTCTTAATGCTGAGTAATATTTCATTGTGTATATATACCACAGTTTCTTTATCCATTCATCTATTGAGGGGCATCTAGGTTGCTTCCACCATTTAGTTATTGTGAATTGAGCTGCTATAAACATTGATGTGGCTGCATTACTATGTTATGTGGATTTTAAGTCTTTTGGGTAAAGACCCAAGAGTGGGATAGATGAGTCAAATGATGGTTCCATTCCAAATCTCCGTACTGCTTTCCAGACTGGTTGCATAGTTATGCAGTCCCACCAGCAATGTATGAGTGTGCCTTTTCCCCCTCATCCACGCCAACACTTCTTGTTGTTTATATTCTTGATAACTGCCCTTCTGACTGGAGTGAGATGAAATCTTAGATTAGTTTTGATTTGCATTTCTCTAATTATTAAAGATGTTGAACATTTTTTCATATATTCATTGATTTATTGTATATCTTCTTCTGATAAGTGTCTGTTCAGCTCCTTAGCCCATTTATTGATTGGGATTTTTTTACGTGTTTTTTGAGGTCTTTATATATTCTGGAGATTAATTCTCTTCCAACGTGTGTGTGGCAAAAATTTGCTCCCAAAATGTAGGCTTTCTCTTGGCCTCATTAATTGTTTCTTTTGCTGAGAAGAAGCTTTTTAGTTTGAATCCATCCTGTTTATTAATTCTTGATTTTATTTCTTGTGCTTTAAGAGTCTTTTAAGGCAGTTGGAGCCTAATCTGATGTGATGAAGATTTGGGCCTACTTTTTCTTTTTCCTCTGTCAGGCTCAGGGTATCTGGTCTAATTCCTAGATCTTTGATCCATTTTGAGTTGAGTTTTGTGCATGGTGAAAGATAGGGTCTTAATTTCATTTTGCTGCATATGGATTTACAGTTCTCCTAGCACCATTTGTTGAAGAGGCTATCTTTTCTCCAGTGTATGTTTTTGGCTCCTTTTTCTAGTATCAGATAACTGTATTTATGTGGGTTTATCTCTCTGTCTTCTATTCTGTACCATTGATCTACATGTCTATTGGTGCCAATACAAGCCGTTTTTGTTACTATAGCTTTGTAGTATAGTTTAAGGTCTGGTATTGTGATGCCTCCTGCTTCACTCTTCTTGCTAAGGAATGCTTTTGCTATTCTGGGTCTCTTTATTTTTCCAAATGAATTTCATGATTGCTTTTTCTATTTCTATAAGGAGTGACATTGGGATTTTAATTGGAATCGCATTGATCTGTATAGTGCTTTGGGTAGTGTGGCCATTTTGACAATATTTATTTTGCCTATCCAAGAACATGGGAGATCTTTCCATCTTCTAAGGTCTCCACCAATTTCTTTCTTTAGCATTCTGTAATTTCCATTGTAGAGGTCTTTCACCTTTTTTGTTAAGTTCATTTCCCAAGGTTTTTTTTTTTTTAGGCTATTGTGAATGGGGTAGTTTTCCTGATTTCTCTTTCAGAGGATTCATCACTGATGTAGAGAAATGCATTTGATTTATGGGTATTGATTTTATATCCTGCTGCTTTGCTGATTTTATTAATTCATTCTAGAAGGCTGAGTTTGAATAATAAATTTACTGACAAATTTAAAAACACATTGGACCTAACAACCCAATCTCCCCATTTTATTCTTCAGAATGCAGCTAGAATCGTTCGTGCCCTTTTTGAAATTGCTCTGAGGAAACGTTGGCCTACCATGACCTACAGGCTCCTGAATCTTAGTAAAGTCATCGACAAGAGGCTTTGGGGTTGGGCTAGCCCTTTGAGACAATTTTCAGTGTTACCACCACACATTCTAACAAGATTAGAAGAAAAAAATCTTACTGTAGATAAGCTGAAAGATATGAGGAAAGATGAAATAGGTAAGAAGGGGGAAAAATTGCTTAAATGAATTTTTCTGTGAAAATAAAATGTTTTACTAGATATAAAAGTATTGTGAATTTTTATATTATTCAACATAAATTTATTTTTCTTCTTTTTTATTTCTGTTTTTTTAGTACATTATAGTTTTGACATTCATGAATTCATATAACTCATATTTTATATGTAGGTTCAAATTTTGAACCTACATATAAAATCTCCTTATTTATGCAAAAGAGCAAAAATCACTCCAAATTTTATGAAGTTATTTAGCAGAATTAGCAATTAAGGCTGGATGTGGTCACACATGCTTATAATCCGAGCAGTTCTGGAGGCTGACTGAGATAGGAAGATCACAAGTTCCAGGTCAGCTTCAGCAACTTAGCAAGACCCTGTCTCAAAATTTAAAAAAAAAAATTAAATGGGCTAGGGATATTGCTTAGTGGCTTAGCTGCCGGCCCTGGGTTCAACCCCCACTACCCACTCCAAAAGAATTAGCAATTAAAATAGTTTATATTAGCAAAGTTTTAAGTATTTTAAATGTAGATCCTACCCATACATGATAAGAATCATTCAGTGATATTTATTCTCATTTTGTTTCTTAATGTTGAACTAATTTCAAAGATTTTGTTATATATATCAGCAGTATTACAGTAAAAATTTAATTGAACAATAAGCTTTACATTCTCCAGAGTTTCTAAACAAGCTTAATTACACAAATATGCCTTTAAACCCAGTTGTTATCAGTGCATACATAGTATTCCTTGTCCAGCATTTTATGTAATATTGAAAAGTTATTCCTAAACATACATTTCCACAAATCCTAACATTTATTGAATAAATGTATAATGCATTATTAGACAGTATTTATTTCTGCAAAGGATAAACATTACACATGAAAAGAATCATTCTGAAGACAAATAAGAAGGAGGATTACTTCTGGCAAGAATTCTAAAGATGAAAATGAGCTCAGTGGCACACCCCAGTAATCCCAACGGCTGGGGAGGCTGAGACAGGAGGACTTCGAATTCAAAGCCAGCCTTAGCAAAAGCAAGGCACTAAGCAACTTAGTGAGACCCTGTATCTAAATAAAATTACAAAATAGGGTTGGGTATGTGGGTCAGTGGTCAAGTGCCCCTGAATTCAAGCCCTGGTACCAAAAAAAAAAAAAAAAAAATTCCAAAGATGTTTAGAGAGGCTGAGATAGTTATTACATTTGTACTCTAAGATAGAGTAGAAAAAAGGGCAGAAAGAAAGAGGGATTATTAACAAAGTAAGTTGACTGTTTACATATTGCACACTTGATGCTTTAAAATATAATCTATTTTCACTTAATTGCTCAAATCAGTTAGTCACATTTGTTTTTTAACAGCCTCTACCCTTGATATTCCCATGCATGTCTGTATTCCAGAACCTGATTATTTTATGTTTTCTAGAAGTGGGCCTGGGTGGATGAGTTGTATTTAATTCCTAAAGCATTTCTTGTGATTTTAGAGTTCTAAAGTAGACCCTGAATAAACCAGTGGCTATGTACATAAAATGTTAAATATTTCTGTATGTGTTCTAAACTAACTCAAAAAGAAGTAGTTCCGTTTATTGTAGTTTAAGCACAATATCAAGGCTCAGAACCCTATTAATACCTAAAGGAACCTTGATACTGATTTCCAGAGCTATGAATTGCTAATTCAAGTTAACTATTACAAAATATTCAAACATGCCAGGTCAAGAATGTCACCTATTCTACATAGCAAATCATAAAACAAGCAATAAAATCACCTACTCTGAAATCCCATTTACAAGTCAGATTATATTGCTTTTTTTCTGTCTGGACACATTTCTTCTATGTGATATTTTTCTTTCAGGTCACATTTTGCATCATGTGAATATTGGACTGAAGGTCAAACAATGTGTGCATCAGATTCCTTCTGTTATGATGGAAGCATCCATTCAGCCTATCACACGGACTGTCCTCCGAGTGACACTCAGCATCTACCCTGATTTCACATGGAATGATCAGGTAGAAGTGGAAAATATCTATATCTATATTAAACTAAAATGTCTGTACCTCAGATTTTACTACACCTCCCTACATCTGTCCTCAGAGAGCCTAGGGAACTTAACTTTGCAACACTGGACAATATTTTAGTGGTTTCAAATCCATGAGAACTTTGCCATTTATTTTTTCCCTCTCTATTGACTCTCATTTTTGCTTACCAAAAATCCATTTTTAAATCATGATGTCTCTCAAAATACTGTTCTCTCCTTTTCTTAAACATTAGACTTGTAGAAAAGGTATTCTACATTTTTTTTTCTTGTCACCAGTTTCTTTTCTGCTAAGACTGCTTCCTCAAGGATCTCTAATATCTGATTGACCAGTTGCCATAATAAGCAGATTTTTTCAGTTATTTTCTTTCTCTGATTAGATAGCATTTTATATGTAGCTCTTCCCTAGAATGTCTTTTCTTGATTCTTGATGCTATTAGCTTCAAGAATGTAAAACCTAACTTGCCTCAATGTGATTTACGTAAGGTAATATATCCTTTTGTACAATAAAAGGTCCACAGATCAGATAGGCCCTAAGGATGGTCCAGTCTTGAGGATAATAGTATTGTTCAAGGCCCAAGATCTTTCCACTTCTTTGCTCTGCTCGCATTGTTGGATACTTCCCAAATGTTTTCCTACTTCTTTTTTCACTTTTAATGGAGTAAGGGGAACACATACCCATTTCCTCAGCCCACAGCATAAACTGTAAGCCCTCTTCCCACACATAATGCCCCCCCCCCCCCACCAGTCTAATTAGGCCAAGTGTTTGTTATGGACTTCTCCTTTACTATAGATATTGTCAGGAGAATGCCATGAGCTGATTGGCTTTATGTGAATCAAAATTATCCCAGGTGTTATGGTTTAAATGTGGTGTCCCCCAAAAGCTCATGTGAGACGACAGTGCAAGAAGATTTAGAGGATAAATGATTGGGATGTGATCTCCTTTTCATGAGTCCCTGAGGGAGAAGTGAATACTGAACAGTATTGGACCGTATAAGGAAAAAAGAGAGATTGGCTTATATAAACAAAATATGGTATATGTGTCCAGTGGAATATTATTTGACAATAAAAAGAAGCAAAGTACTGATGCAGTTTAAAACATGGATGAACTATAAAAATATTATGGTAAGTTTAAAAAGCCAGTCACAGAAAACCATTTGTTATATCATTCCATTTAACAAAGTGTTTAGAATAGCCAAATCTATACTTCTAATGAATATAAGTACTCTCTTGGAGGTGATAAAATTGTTCTAAAATTATATTATGTTCATAGTTGTACAACTTTGTAAATATGTTAAAACCATTGAACTGTATACTTTAAATGAGTGAACTTTGTTTTATAAATTATATATAAAAAAAGTTGTTAGACTAATAGGTGCTGATATGTAAACAGTACTGTTACTTGAGTTATGATTTTCATAGTACTAGGATAATTTTTCTTCTAGGTCCATGGGACAGTAGGAGAACCCTGGTGGATTTGGGTGGAAGATCCTACAAATGATCATATTTATCATTCAGAGTATTTTCTAGCTCTTAAAAAACAGGTGAATATAACCTTATTATTTAGCTATCATAAAAAAATATAAACAAGTTTTGTTTTTTACTATCTCTCTGATTTCAGAGTGCCATCAAAGTTTTGTTATGTTCTGTTTTTCTGTTTGGTTTCAAAGGAACACAGAGATTCAGTGTGACAATATTGATTATTCAGTCTGATCCTAGTTCAAGAAATTCATTTATAATCTTTACCATGGTTTAAGGCATGGCTTCTAGAGGCGTGGAATATATAAAATAAGGGGGGTAAAAATAATTTCCTGCAAAATAATAAATCACTTAGTGAAAAGATCATTCCTTGTCAAATTCTCTGTAAAGACTCAATAGTTGCTACATCTTTAACTCATGTTTTATTTGTAATTTCTCTTTTTATCAAAGAGAAAGAAAGCTTCCGATTGAAAATCTTGACTGGATAGCAATAGTATTTTATAGCTATATTTTGTTTTCATGCATTTATCTTCTTGATAACCATGTAACCTATTTATTTTTAAGAGGTTTCAGATATTCCACTTAAGATACTGATCAGATTTAAAGAAAAATATTAAGTAAATAATAATATGGTACTTGAAATTAAAGAAATCATGAAATAATTGAATGAATCATGTTTGGGAAATTCTGATAATGAATCAAACTGGTAACATGTCAGAATGATAACATATATATAAATAATATAAAGTGAGTATAAATTCTTACCTTCTGTTATGTCAAATAATCCTCAGAAGGAAATCGCCTACAAGTTACTGTAGTACCTGAATATCTGAGCTATTTAGAAATCCAACATAGTTTATTTTTATTACATCTTGTATAGATAAAATTAAGAATTGACTACTAAGAACTTTATTTATTTTAGACTTTATTTCACATTAGGTCATTAGTAAAGAAGCTCAACTACTGGTATTTACAATCCCTATTTTTGAACCTTTGCCTTCCCAATACTATATCCGAGCAGTTTCTGATAGATGGTTAGGAGCCGAGGCTGTTTGTATTATCAACTTCCAACATCTGATTCTACCAGAGAGGCATCCGCCCCATACAGGTAATAAATTGAACATTAATGTGTTGATGTGAATTATTGAATTCCCAAAATTGTTATTTTAATTAATGTTGACAAGTATAAAGTTGTTTTATTCTGAATCAAAGTCCAACTTACTTGACAATATTGTTTCTAAACTGTATGTTCAAAATTTTCAAAATCAAATATGTATATGCAGATAGTCAAATTGTGAACCTTTATTTTTTGTTTATTTAAGCTCCAAAAGCATTAAAGTAGGCTTAGTCAATTCTGATAATTATAGTAATGATGAGAGTTACTATTTCTGTGTTACTGGACTTTCATCTGTACATATAATCATTATTTCTCCATATAGCCTTCCTTTTTCATTGCAATTGTCATTTATCATTTAATCTGTATTCTCTGTGAAACTTTTGAGATATCTCTTTTTTCTTACATTTATTCCAATTTACATAAACTTATTTCTAGTACAGGTTATCTTTTATCCAAAATGTTTAAAACTCGAAGTGTTTCAAATTTCACATTTTTTTTTTTTAGATTTTGGAAAGTTTGTATATATATAACAAATTATTAAAAGGGATATAGAGTAAGAGCATTCAGCAGCATTTTTTATTGTTGCAATGTATAAACTCTAGGTTTTCGTAACATGAACAAATGCCTTTCTATTTTGATTTATTCAAAAAGCAAAATTTCATGAATAAATTTTTGCAGTGATACTTTCAAGTACCCCTGAAATCTATTTCAAAAACATCTTGAAACTAATTAGTGTACTAATTTCATTTCTTGAGAATTCACAATTGATGAGTATTGATTTTCAGAGATACTTTACAGACATAAATTAGGAGTCAAATTTTCTTTCCCATATATTTCAGACAAACTGTTTGACTTTTCAGATTAAAACTGTTTTCTGACTACTTTAAATAGCATGCTATTTGACAGTCCTTTCAGAAGTGAAAGGAGACCTAAATATAACTTTATAATCTTTCATTTTGTCAAATGTACACCTTATTCATTGAGAGATTCTTTATACTACATCTCAGTTTCTCTTTGATATCTTGGCATAGCAAAACCAAAAAATTTTATCAAAATAGAATGATATTGAGACTGTATTATCTAGTAATCTACTTATTGCAGAGGATCTTTCTGGTCTTATTTCATCAAATGTGCTTATGTGATATCTAGAATCTCATAAGTTCAAAATATGTGGAAGTGATGATGTTTTAACTTAAAATATATGCTTCCAATATCATTGCTAGGTTTCTTTCTTTCATTAAAGTACTTAATTCTACATATATTAGCATTATATGTTAATGCCAATTTAATAATTTCTTTATTAAGCAACCAAATACATATCAACCTATTTATATAATTAGCTGATGTAGTATAAACATATCATCTAGGTAAAATCACTGTAATAGATCATCTTAATTTAACATTGTCAATAACTGTGCATTTGACATTGTACAATGTTTAATTTTTAGTCTTTTATTTAAAAAAAATATGTTTGATTAGCATTGCATGCCTTATCTTGCAATGTCTCCCTCCTTCCTGGATTTCCAGTGCTACGGAAAATTTAAACAATTATAATCAGACATAGAGAGTATGAAGTTAGCTCTCAGCTATCCTTGTAATAGAATAGAGCAATGGGTGGGGCATAGATAACTTTTTAAAGTCATCTTTTTATTTTGGGTTTTTTTTTTTCCTTTAGGGACAAGGTACCCAGGATTGAACCCAAAGGGCACTTAACCACTGAAGCACATCCCCAGTCTTTTTATTATTATTATTATTATTTTGAGAGATAGGATATCACTAAGTTGCTGAGGCTGTCGTTCAACTTGGGATCTTTCTGTCTCAGCCTCTGAGCTGCTGGAATTACAGGCCTGTGCCACCATGCCTGCCTAAGTTAGTTTTTGTTTTTAAGTACATTTTTTAGAAGAAAATTTACCATATTTTTCATTTTGCGACCATACTATAAAGGTCAGATCAATGTGTCCTCTTAACTGATTTTTTTATATCTTCTTTTTTAAACTTTTCTAATAATTTCTTATTTCTTTGGCACCCAGTCCATATAATGAGAAGCAACCAAATCTAGTGTCTTTCAATACATAAATTTACTTTACAGACATAAATTTCCCCAATAATTAGTGAAAGTAAGAAGACCTGTACCCTTTAAGGAGAGTTTTTGGTTTTGTTTTGTTTTGTTTTACTCAGTCATGCTGTGTTCTGAAACTACTATCCTTGTTCCTTCCTGAATAAGGCTAAATTCATTTTTGTTTCCATTGGCTGTACCAAAAGCTCACTCAGCTACTCAGGATTGGTCAGTGTCTAGCAGATCAAAAGTAATCTGTTGTTAGTGACCCTTCCAATACTGCTGTTTACAAATGGTTTTCATTGTTTTACAAATTACGGCAGATTTATTTTTGTACCATAACATACATACTTTCATGTACTTTTATTCAAGTTATTTCCCTTTTTGGAAGAGAAATATATAGTTGGTTTGTAGGGAACTCTACAATAAAAGTGTTCTGTTTATCAGTTATGTTAAATGTAGTGACTGAATAAGATGTGTCACTGGTGTATAAGAACTTATATTAAATATGTTCTTCTCTTGAGATAATTAGGAAATGTTATTCTTTAAAATACAGTATTCAGTATTGTGCATGTTTTTTCAGTTATTGTATAGAAATATCTGTTGGATCTTTTCAGAATTACTGGATCTTCAGCCTTTGCCAATTACGGCTTTGGGATGTAAAGCATATGAAGCCCTGTACAACTTCAGCCACTTTAACCCTGTGCAGACACAAATATTTCATACACTGTATCACACAGACTGTAATGTCCTACTTGGAGCACCCACAGGATCAGGAAAGACTGTTGCAGCTGAATTAGCTATTTTCAGAGTCTTCAACAAGTATCCCTCCTCAAAGGTATGTTGAACATATTGTGTGCTTATTATATTCAGTTAGAAAAGATAGTTAATGTCTCTAAACTAGCCAGGTCCAAATATCCTGGCATACTCTGGTGAATAGCTTTGTTATACTCTCAGTGAATTTTCCAGGGGGCCAGATCAGTATTAGAATAATTTGTTGCAAAAAAATTGATATCAACTTTGGAGTCTTCTAGGTGAATTTCTCATGTATATAGTGCTCACACATCCTCATATCTATAATTCATGGGTACTTCTTTTATGAGGTAATTAATTCTTAGCTGTACTTGTTAGGTATATAACAATTCTTAATCATTCTTTGGATATGAATGAAATGCTAATACTTTAAAACACTTTGATTATACACAGGAAATATAGACATAACTTATGCTACATTCCTCCAAATATTGATATTGCCAATTAATGTCAAATAACACCGGAATCAAATAAGTATTGATTTTTAATGTTTTTAAAACATAATATTTAGTAAATTTTTTCCCAATGCTATTTTATTTTTAATAAAGATGATTTATATTTGAGGTGTTCAATGTGATACTTAAATATACATATACATTATAAAATAATTGCTAGAATCAAGATAGCTCAGATATCCATCACTTCAGATAATTACATATTTTTGCAGTGGGAACATTTAATATCTAGTCAGCAAATTTCAAGTCTGTTAGTACAATATTATTAAATACAGTCACCCTTCTGCACGTTAGATCTCTAGAACTTGTTCTACATAAATGAAACTTTGTATCCTTTAAGCAATATCTCCTTATATCCCCCACTTTCACCCCTCTCAACCATTATTTTACTCTGCTTCTATGAATTTGACTTTTTAAAATTGCACCTGTCAGTGAAATTATTCAGTGTTTTGTTGTTTTCAGCTTATTTCTCTTAACACAATGTGTATTATTGCAAATGGCAAGATTTTCTTCTTTTGTAAAGCTGAAAGATCTCCCATTGTGTTTCAGTTTCTTTTTTCATCCATCTTGGGTCACTTAGACTGTTTCTTTAACTGTTTCTTTATCTTGGCTTTTCTAATCAATGATGTAATAAACATAGAAGTGTACATGTCTTTGAGATATTGATCTCATTTCTTTTGGATATGTATTCAAAAGTAGAATTCCTATGATGATGATGATGTTTTCTATGTATAATTTCTTAAGGCTCTCCATGTGTATTTTCCATAATGGCTTCCCCAACTACATTTCTACCATCAGTGTGTAGCAGTTTCCTTTTCTCCACATCCTTGCCAGTACTTTCGTTGTTTTAATAGTATTCGTTCTAACAGATGTGAGGTGTTGACTCATTGTGATTTTTAAAAAATATTTATTTTTTAGTTGTTGTTGGATACAATACCTTTATTTTATTTATTTATTTTTATGTGATGCTGAGGATCGAACCCAGGGCCTCTCACGTGCTAGATGTGTGCTTTACCACTGAGCCACAACCCCAGCCCTCATTGTGATTTTGATTTGCATTTCCCCAATGATTAGTGAAAGTAAGCACCTTTTCATGTCTGTTAGCCATTCTGTATTTCAACAGAATGATATCTATTTGCCTCATTTGTCCCTCCACCTTTTTTTTTCTATAATAGAATTTTTAGGCTTTTTGTTCTTGGGTTATGAGTGCCTTATATGTTTTGGATATTAACACCTTATTAACATCTGCAAGAATTTTCTCCTATTACATATGTTATTTTTTTAATTCATTGATTGCTTCCTTTTCTGTGCAGAAGTTTTGTAGCTTTGGTGCACCCCTGTTTGTTTATTTGCACCTTTTTTTCCTGTGTTCCTGGGAACATATTCAAAAACTCATTGCTAAGACCAGTGTCAAGATCTTTTTCCCTGTTTTCTTCTAGGAGTTTTATGGTTTCAGATCTTACATCTAAGTTTTTAGTAAATTTCAAGATAATTTTTGCATATGGTGTAAGACAAGGTTCCAGTTTTATTCTGTTAAATGTAGATGTTCAATTTTATCAACACCATTTATTGAAGCCTATCCTTTTCCTTCTTGGTATTCTTGTCAGATTAGTGACAAGATGTGTGTTTATTTCTAGACTCTATTCTGTTCTGTTAGTCTATGTGTATATGTTTGTGCCAGCGCCATACTATCTTAATTATTGAAGCTTTGTACTATAATTTGTAGTCAAGAAGTAGAATGCCTCTAACTTTATTCTTTCTCAAGATTTCTTTGGGTTTTGGTTCTTCATGGTTCCTTAATAATTTAGATTTTTTTCTGTCTCTAAGAAAAATGCTATTGGCATTTGTTAGGGATTACATTGAATCTGTAGATTGTTCTGGGTAGTTAATTTCTTACTTTTTTTCAGTTAATCGTTTAATTTTATTTTATATGCTTATAAAACAGCATAATGTGTCTCAGATTGCAATAAAGTCTACTGTACTGGAAAGTGGAAGCTGGAAAAGGAGACTGTGATCCAGAATGGGTAGACACTTTTTCATACTTTATGATGGCAAGTTTCAAAACTTCACTGGACCTTTATTCCTTGATGAAATAGATGAACTGTGATTGCACGCGTTTATTCTGGTTCTCATGTTGAGGAATTTTCTCTGTTGTTGTCAGTACTCCTTGAATAAATGTAGAAACAGGGCAAACTTAATTTAACTAAATAAAACTCCAAAGGAAACAGAATGATTTCATTACATGAAATCAATCAGGGGCTTCCAAATTTTTCCATAGTTTGTCAAATAAAGAAAATCAGGTTTTTGTTCTACCCCCACTACCAATTTATTGTGTGACAGAAGGGTCGTCACAACTTCTCTGGAACTTTTTCCTAAAAAATTGTATTAAATCATTTCTAAAGTCCCCATCATTTCTGAAATTCTAGAATTCTTTGATTTTAGCTATAACCTTATGAAAAAGAAAGGGTTTTTTTCTTTTTTATCATTATTATTTTTTTTACATGACAGTAGAGTATATTTTGAAATATTATACATACATAGAATAAGTATAACTTGTTACAATTAGGATACTATTATTGTGGTTGTACATAATGTAGTGTTACACTGGTCATTATTTATATATGAGGATAGGAATGATATTCCATATTCATTCTACTGTCTTTCCTATTGCAGTCACCCCCTCCCTTTCCTTCATTTCCCTTTGTCTAGTCCAGTGAATTTTGAATCTTCCCCTCCTTTGTTGTGAGTTATCATCCACATATCAGAAAGAACATTCTGCCTTTGGATTTTTGTGACTGACTTATTTAACTTAGCATGATATTCTTTAGTTCCATTTACTAACAAGCAAATGCCATAATTTCATTCTTCTTTATGACTAAGTAATATTCCATTGTGTATATATACCACAATTTTTTCATCCATTCATCTCTTCAAGGGCACCTAGGTTGGTATCATAGCTATTTTGAATTGAGCTGCTATAAACATTGAAGTAGCTGTGTCACTGTAGTATGCTAATTTTAAGTCCTTTGGATATAAAGAAAGGAGTGGAATAACAGGGTCAAATGGTAGTTCCATTCCAAGTTTTCTTTTTTTTTATTATTTCTTACATACATGACAATAGTGGAGTGCAATACATTCATAATTTTTTGCATTACGATTCTTAATACACCTTTATACCACAATTTATCAAATCTCTGTATAGTGTTGACTCTAGCTCAGCAGTTCCTTCGACACAGAATGTACAACCATTCCAAGTTTTCTAAGGAATCTCCAGACTGCTTTCTGAGTGTTTGCACCAGTTTGCAGTCCCACCAACAATGTATAAATGAACCTCTGCTATTCTGACTGGGGTGAGATGGAATTTCAGTGTAGCTTTGATTTGTGTTTCTCTAATTGCTAGAGATGTTGAACATTTTTTCATATATTTTTTGACCATTCATATTTTTTCTTCTGAGAAGTGCCTGTTTAGTTCCTTAACCCATTTGTCAATTGGGTTATTTGTTTTTGTTGTTGTTTACTTATTTATTTGGTTAAGTTTGTTGATTTCTGTATATATATATCCTGGAGATTAATGCTCTGTATAAGATGCTGGTGGCAAAGATTGTCTTCCATATTGTAGGCTCTCTGTTCACATTCTTGATTGTTTCCTTTGTTGTGAAGAAACTTTTTATTGATTTTTTATTGATTCTTTATTTTATTTCTTGTGCTTTAGGAATCTTATTGAGGAAGTCCTTTCCTAAGCCAACATGGTGGAGAGTTGGTCCTAATTTTTCTTCTAGCATGTACAAAGTCTCTGGTCTAATGCCTAAGTCCTTGATCCACTTTGAGTTGAGTTTTGTTCAGGGTGAGAGACAGAGGTTCTTTGATTGATGTTGTATATTTTCCTTGGAAAGATTTTTATCTTCTTGATTAAATTCTAAGTATATTTTGATGTTGTTGTGAATGGAATTGTTTTCTTTATTTCTTTTCAGATAACTCATTGTTAGTTTTAAGAAATGCTACTGATTTTTGTTTATTCATTTTTATGTCTTGTACCTTTCTTGACTTTGCTTATTAATTCTAACAGGTTTATTTTTTTAATGTAGCATTTAAGGTTTTCTTGTTTTTAAATTGTACGAGTATATTACATTTGAAATAGAGGTATCTTAGACATGTTGCAATTATGTGCTGTTTCTTCATCATTTGTGATTTCAGAAATATTCAGACTTCCTTTTTCCATGATTTTCAGTTAGTGTTTTTTCTTTCTTACTTTGTTTCTCTATTTTTTTAAAAAATATTTTTGTAGATGTATGGACCTTATTTTATTCATTTATTTATATGTGGTGCTGAGAATTGAACCCAGTATTTTTAATCTGTTATATGATTATTGATCCACAGAAATATTTTAGTAAAAAAGAAGAGTTAAGTTTTGTGCATGGTGAGAGATAGAGGTTTAATTTCATTTTGTTGCATATGGATTTTCAGTTTTCTCAGCACTATTTGTTGAAGAGGCTATCTTTTCTTCAATGCATGTTCTTGGCACCTTTGTCTAATATAAAATAATTGTAGTTTTGTGGGTTAGTCTCTATGTCCTCTATTCTGTACCATTGGTCTACCAATCTGTTTTGGTGCCAATACCAGGCCATTTTTGTTACTATTGCTCTGTAGTATAAATTATGGTCTGGTATAGTGATGCCACCTGCTTCAATCTTCCTGCTAAGGATTGTTTACCCTGCATCTAATAGAAGAAAAAGTAAGCCCTAATCTCCATCATGTGGGATTAGGCCCCAATTTCCTTAAGAAGCCTCCTGTGGCACAAGAATTAAAATCAAGAATCAATAAATAGGATGGACTCAAACTAAAAAGTTTCTTCTCAGCAAAAGAAACAATAAGTGAGATGAATAGAGAGCCTCCATCTTGAGACCAAATTTTTACCCCTCACACATCAGACAGAGCACTAATCTTAATCTCTGCGGTATATAAAGAACTCAAAAAGCTAAACACCAAAAGAACAAATAACCCAATCAATAAATGGGCCAAGGACCTGAACAGACACTTCTCAGAAGATGATGTACAATTAGTCAACAAATACATGAAAAAATGTTCATCATCACTAGCAATTAGAGAAATGCAAATCAAAACCACCCAGATTTCATCTCACTCCAGGCAGCTATTAAGAATACAAACAACAATAAGTGTTGGTGAGGATGTGGGGAAAAAGTTACACTCATACACTGCTGGTGGGACTGCAAATTGGTGCAGCCAATATGGAAAGCAGTATGGAGATTTCTTGGAAAATTAGGAATGGAACCACCATTTGACCCAGCTATTCTTCTCCTCGGACCATACCCAAAGGACTTAAAAACAGCATACTACAGGGACACAGCCACATGGATGTTTATAGCAGCACAATTCACAATAGCTAAACTGTGGAGCCAACCTAGATGCCCTTCAATAGATGAATGGATTTTTAAAATGTGGAAAATATGCACAATGGAATGTTACTCAGCAATTAAAAAAGTAAAATCATTGCATTTGCAGGTAAATGGATGGCATTGGAGAAGATAATGCTAAGTGAAGTTAGCCAATCCCAAAAAAACAAATGCAGAATGTTTTCTCGGATATAAGGAGGCTGATTTGTAGTGGGGTGGGGAATGAGAGCATGGGTGGAATAGACAAACTCTAGATAGGGCAGAGGGTTTGGAGGGAAAGGGAGGGGGTGTGGGGTTATTAATGATGGTGGAATGTGATGATCATTATTATACAAAGTTTATGTATGAAGACATGAATTGGTGTGAATATATTGTGTATACAACCAGATATATGAAAAATTGTGCTCTATATATGTAATAAGAATTGTAATGCATTCTGCTGTCATATATTTTAAAAAATCAAAAAGAAGAGTTAATACTCTAGTTTGAGACATTTTTTAAACAAGTGCTGTTTTAGTGAATAATGTATTTTATTAAATTGAAACAGCTAAAATATATGACTGGAATTTGTTAAGATCTGCATTAAAATTTAAACAGTTTGTTTCTCATACATTGTTGATGGGATTTCAAATTAGTATAACTACTTTGGAAAGCAATATGGAGATTTCCCCAAAGACCAGAAATTGAACCACCATATGATCCAGCTATCCCACTCCTTGGTATTTATCCAAAAAGTTTAAATCAGCATACGGGTACATCAATCTTTATAGAAATGCAAGTCATAATACTCAAGTTATGGAACCAGCCCAAGGGCCCATCAACATATGACTGGGTAAAGAAACTGGTATATATATATATATATATATATATACCAGTTTCTTTAAGAATACAAACAACAATAAGTGTTGGAAACTGCATATATACATGGAATTTTACTCAACTATAATCATGGCATTTTCCAGTAAATAGATGGAACTGAAGAACATCGTGCTAAGTGAAATAAGCCATATGTCAGAAAGGATTGAATTCTTTTTTTTTTTTCACATGTGGAAGCTAGAGCAAAATAAGGGGTAAAAGAGGGAAGGGGAATTATTTGAAAATAGAAGGGAGATCAATGGAGTAGAGAAAGGGAACAGAGTGGGAAGGAGGTGGGACAGGGAAAGAGAGGAACTGTAGAATGCAATAGACCGAAGTATGCTATGTGAATTCCACATTTATATATAACTATAAAGCACCAATTAAAAATAAATAAATAAGAAGGAGGACCAGTAGAGTAGAAGACAGGGAAGAGGGAATGGAAAGAAGCAGTACTGGGAGCTAAAATGGATCATCAAATTATATTCCATGCATATATGATTATGTCAAAATGAACCCCAATATTATGTATGACTACAATGTACTAATAAAAGTGCTAAAAGTAATAATTAAAAAACCTTGAAAAAAACTTCAAAATACATTACTTCAAAATACATTATTTCAGGAGTTACAGCTTAGATGAATCTTGAGCATAATAGGAAATCATATATTTATTTTTGTCAAAATCCTAATTTTTTGTGTAATATATATTCTCATAGTTTTATAAATGTATTAACATTGTTAGAACAGAATTTCATTATAAAATGCCTAAGGAAAATACCTTTAGTGTTTTTTTTTATTTTAAATTCACCTGTTAGTATTTTTATGATAGAATGTTTATGATGCATTAATTTTCTCTTTATTTTGGATACGTGTAGTTTAACTTAATGACCTTTTTCTCAATAATTTAAAAATTTAAGTATTCTGTGAAATTTAAAAACCACACTGTCCTGTTTTGACAAATTTTATGTTTATTTTATTTGAAAAATGACCTTATTGTTCTTATTAAAGTCCTATTGCTCATTGCCCCCTCTTTAGGCAGTTTATATTGCACCCCTAAAAGCCCTAGTTCGTGAAAGAATGGATGACTGGAAGGTTAGAATAGAAGAAAAACTTGGTAAAAAGTAAGTTCCTTTTTTTGTTCAAGAGATACACTTTCAATAGTCTGAAAAGACCAATAAATGAAAGAGTTGCATAATACCTATGAATATGTTTACAGTGTTTTTTTTAATCTTTTATTTAAAAGTTCATAGCTACTATAAAATGGTGTCAATATTCCCATGTTTTAAGATTGAAAAATGAACTTCTTTTAATTTCTTAATATGAATACTTTTAGGTGGCAGCTAACTTTTTCTATATATATTATAGTACATATATATAATTTTTCATATTTTTAGTTGTAGATGGACACAATACCTTAATTTTATTTATTTATTTTTGTGCTGAACCCTGTGCCTCACATGTACTAGGCAAGCGTTCTCTCACTGAGCTATACTCCCAATCCCTTCAATATGTTCTCATTGTAAAAGAAACATGTTATTTCTCTTTATTTTTTTCTCATGTTGTTCAGAGTAAATTCTAGAAACCACTTAAAAGGCATTGTGTATGGAGAGTACTTATGACATGTAAAACTTCTTTGACGAATATATTGTTTTTACTTACTATTTTTGAATATTACAAAACCATTCATTAAAGTATATAGCAAATGATTGTGGATAATTATATGTCCAATAGAGCATCACTAATTATATACCTCTATCCAATGCAAAAATATTGTATAACTATATAGATCAATGAGCTTTTTTATACACTGAATAAATGATCTCTAGGGATAATTGGAAAAAATAAGACTTTTAAGTAAACTGTCCTATCCCTTTTTTAAAAAAACGATAAAATACAAATATATGAATGCTTTTGGATGAGAATTAGGTGGGATGTTCCAGAGATGATTCACAACATATTCTTTGAATAATGTGAATATATTATATATTCAGTATCCTGGTATGTTTTAATTTATTTGTTATCTTGAGAAAATTTAAACCTAAGAAATGAAAGTTATACACAATCTATTATTATTGAGTGTCCCCTTTTATCAAGTTAATACTTTCCCTCATTAAAAAATAATAATGATATTTATTTCCAAAAATGTTTTTCCCCCCAAAGAAAAAAGATTTTAGTTCCACTCTGTAGAGGAGATAGAAGTTCACCTTTATAAATTCACTTAGAGTAAAGATTCTATAAATATAGTCAAAACAAAGTCTGACACTTTTGTACATCTGTATAAAAGATGTGTCAATGAATTGGATTTATATTTTTGACTCATTTCAGAAAATTTCAGAAATCAAAGAGGAAAAAAGTAGTTTTAAGCATCATAAAATTTTATTGGATTGATATATTGTTGCCTTTACAAGATTATGTGTTACTTGAGAGTCATTTTTATTTCCTTCCAGAGTTATTGAACTAACAGGGGATGTGAGTCCTGATATGAAATCCATTGCCCAGGCTGACCTTATTGTCACTACACCAGAAAAGTGGGATGGAGTCAGCAGAAGCTGGCAAAATAGGAACTATGTTCAGCAAGTTACTATTCTCATCATAGATGAAATTCATCTGCTTGGTTGGTACCACTCTTTCTAAGTAATTATACAAACTTTGAGTCTTTTTATTGATATTATTTTTAATTGACAGATAATTGTATATAATGTTGGGGTACAATGTAATATTTTAAGATGTGCACACATACGCACACACATACGCGCACACACACAGAGTGTGGAATAATTAAATCAAGCAAATTAACATCTGTTACATCAATTGTAATTTTTATGGTGAGACATTAGAAATTTATTCTTTTAGCAATTTTTAAATATACATTTAGCTTTTTCATTTCTTTCTGACTGAAAGACCTGACCAGAACTATTTTAGAGGAGTAAAGTTCGTTAGGTTCTCATGTTTTAAGAGGTCTCAGTCTATAAAAGTTCAATTTCATTGCTGTGGGTCTGAGGTATAGCAGAACATCATGGCAGCTCAGTTTATGGCAATCATGAAGCAGAAAGAACTCTGCTCACCAGAGACAAAATATAAACCCCAAAGGCAAACACCTAGTGACCTGTCTCCTCCAGCTATATTCTGCCTGCCTAGAATTACCACCCAGTTAATCCATATCACTGGGTTAACCCACTATAGATTACAACACTTATTATCATTTCACCTCTGAGTGTTCTTGCATTGTCTCACACATGAGCTTTTGGGGAAACCACATATCACAACTATAACATACATTATTATTGACTATAGTTGGCCTGGTGTACTGTGTATACTCACACACTCATTTCTCCTGTCTAACTGAAACTTCATATCCTTTGGTCAATATCTCCCTATTCCTTTTCAACCCCCAGCATCTGGCAACTACCAGTCTACTCTTTATATCAATTTTGACTTTTTTTTTTTGATTCCACATATAGGTTAGATCATTCAGTTTTTTCCTGGCTTTATTCTTTTTACATAATGCCCTCCAACTTCATCCATAGTGTTACAAATGACAGAATTTCATTCTTTTTTATTGCTTAAAAGTATAAACATACATATATGCATATACACACATGAACACACACTTATATATACACAGCACATTTTCTTTATTCATTTGGTAACGGTCACTTAGGTAGATTCCATTTCTTAGCTATTATGAGCAGTGCTGCATTGAACTTGAAAGCACATATATCTCTTCAGCATATTGATTTCATTTCCTTTGGATATATACCCAGAAATGGGATTACTCTATCATATGGTAGTGTTATCTTTAGGTTTTTGAGGAACCTATAAACTTGACTTCATGCCTGCCTGCAGCAGCCATTTTGAATTTGTCAAATGATTAATGTATATTATTCTTATTTCCTAGGGGAAGAAAGAGGTCCTGTTCTAGAAGTCATTGTATCTCGAACAAATTTTATCTCCTCACACACGGAAAAGCCTGTTAGGATAGTTGGATTGTCTACTGCATTAGCTAATGCCAGAGACCTTGCTGACTGGCTAAATATTAAGCAGGTATGTGAAAGATGGATAAGTCAGGCAGTAACATGACATAGGTAGCCACATTAAGGAGGCATCATAACATTATGAACATATATATGTTTGTATAATATATAAATTGAAATGGTTTCTCTCATCTTAACTATAGATGGGCTTGTTCAACTTCCGACCATCAGTACGCCCTGTTCCACTGGAAGTTCACATTCAAGGCTTTCCAGGTCAACATTACTGTCCCCGCATGGCAAGTATGAACAAGCCTGCATTTCAGGGTGAGCTTCAGTTTCTACTATTTCAGATTGAAATAGTAACCATTCTGTATTATAGCTATCAATTGTATTCTAAATGGTTTGGGTTTATTTTAAAGGGTAATAGTGGTCCAACTTATGCAAATATCTAAAGCTGATTACTTCAACTGTTAAGGAATATATATGTTAAACTACATTGAAATTAGACATATCTCACAAAAGTGTCTTTGTAGTAGGATACAAATATGTAATTTTGAAAGCAATCAAATAATTCTATTAACATTTTCTTAGGACAATTACTAGTTTAAACAATGATCAATAGAAACAAGTAAAAATTCACGTAATCTTTATTTTTACTAGAAACCATAAAACTTTCAGTACTTTTTTACAGTAATTTAGTTTTTGTTTTGTTTTTTCATTTTTCCATTTCTAAAAAATTCGTCAAACAGGAAAGATTTGAGAATAACACTCCTATTTTATTGAAACATGTTTAATTTAGACTACATTAGGAATATTTATTGTATCAATTAAAAATAACCTCCAAAATAAATTCTCTAATGTGAACTGCTGTTGATTGTGAGGTGACAGTTGTGAGGTGACTTTTTAGCTTCTGTAATTAGCCTTATGACAGAAGCAAAGTATTGATTGTGAGCTAGAGACCAATCTCAGCCATTCAGATTATTTACACCTCCACAGAAGCATTGTACAAAATCACTAATGAACAATAAATCTGCTGGGAACTGTTCAGCTACACCTGTTCTTGTAGCAGCAAAAATCCATTAAATGTTGTGGTTTAAAAAAGAGACAAATTCATTCATGATTGTGTGTACAAATGATACCAATATTGTAATAATATGTGAGTTTAAACATTGCTTTTGTAATGATTTACAATCAATTTATCCTTTATATACTATACTATTCTGATAAATGGTTTTAAAAAGTAGGAAATAAGATAAATGAGTTTATTTTTCATGTGTATTGTTGAAAATGTGTATATCTATTTAAGAAATGGCTGATTGCATACCATTAATGGAAATAAAGCATTTTGTATTTTGTAAATCAATAGTAAATAGCTGAAATTCCTGCACTTCTTAAGATACAGTATCAGCACAACTGCTGTCCTTATAAACTATTTATTACACTGGTAGTGATTACTGTATTTCTTTGAGTTTAGAAGTCAAGGTCATGTCAGCATTTCCATTATAAACCTTATATCTCAGGACATAAAAAGGAATTCTTTACATTTCAAACAAGAAATTACAACAAAGTTGAACTTTTTCACATAAAATTTGTGAATATCTCTGTGTTAAGAAAGCTATATAGACATTTATAAATTGTGCTTGGGCTATCTTATCAGCATTTTGGAGTAAAGAAACCTCAGTTCCAGTTAGAGCAAAATGATTTATGTGGTTCTTTAAGTAATTTTTTTTATAGATTTGATTTACAGTATTCCTCCAGTGTTGTTACTCAGGTTTCCCAATATTCATTTCACCTTGTGTGTGCTGAGCATTCCTGTGCTATTTCTCAGATGTACATTCAGGCAGAGCAACCTCTTAGCCAACTTCTATATTTTATTTCCCACTTGAAAAGTCCTGGTTTTAGAAAATCTGAGGGAAAATATTCTTTTGATTTATTTCTTGTCTGTTTCTTGGGACAATCTCTTCTAATTTTTCCATCTCATAACAGGGAAAAAATAAAAAGGAATTATCTGTAGTCTTTGAACATTTTTCATCACCCTGAAGGACTTGAATTTTGCAAGGAAAGCAAAAGGAAACAGAAGCGAGGTGCAGAGTCAAAGCAAAAGCTGCTGGCCCGAGCTTCTAGCTTTATTTATATAAATAGGTTACATTAGGTCATTGTCATCATTAGTATGTATTGTTCATTGTATCACTAGGGAGGTTAGAGAGTTAGCAACATTGTGCAGCTTATTCCTCAATTACATACTAAGTTGCAGTGTGCAATGTTAGGAGCTTTGTGTAACTCTCAAGAAAGCTTATTGTATAAAGTTACTGTCATATGGACAGGTTTAGACTCAGTGGTTGTCTAACAAGAGAGTTTCTTTATTCCTAGAAGCTGAGTATCTTGAGATCAAGGTCTAGGCTGATAAGACTCTAACACAGCCTCCTCATGGAGGGCATTACCATAGCAGCGAGGCATTGTATATGTAATAGTTATCTTACTAGTTCCTGGGAGAAACTGCAGAATATTCCAACTGTGGAAAACAAAATGTCCATTATTCCCTGGGAGTTTGCTCACCAGAGGAAATTTGTTGTCTTATACATTTCCACATCCAGAATCCTTACAGAATCTTATCAGATCCCAGGACCAATTAACTATAATATCACAATTTACACAGGCAGAAATATTTCAGAAACACTACTTAGAAATAGAAAACTCAACTTAATCATGTGAGCATTTAAGGTTCTCCTTCCAGGTCAATTCAGAATAGAACTTGGAGCATTATGCTCCTTAGATAGAGCCAGGAATCTCTCCTTTCCTGTCATCTATGTAGAATGCTGTCAGATCCATTCAGTACCTGGAATAATGCTAAATGTTATGACCAAATTAAAAATTCAGCTAAATCATTTGCACCATCAGTTTTGTACACCTATTTGATATCTATCTGAAATTTATCTTCTAGTGTTAAGCAACTTAACATTTCATTTTCCACAACTTTACAACAGCAATTAGAAGTCATTCTCCAGCCAAACCTGTTTTGATATTTGTCTCATCAAGACGTCAGACTAGACTTACTGCTTTGGAATTGATAGCCTTTCTGGCTACTGAAGAAGATCCAAAGCAATGGTTGAACATGGATGAAAGAGAAGTAAGCAACATTTTTTTCTTCTTCTTATACATATCAGATTTGTTTGTATTATATTATAATGGAAATATAGATTTATGTTTAGTTTTATTCTACAATAAAAGTATAAAATAACAGAAATTTAGAAAACAAATAATAGAGGAAAGAAGAAATGTATTACACTGCCACCTTTAAACAACAAGATTAATATTCTAGTTAGTATTTTCCCATTAAATATTTACTTTAGGTATTCATGTTTGACTTTTTCCTTTGATGTCATCATGATGTATATATTTTATACTCAACTATGTGTTTATAAATTTTGAACATTCCCTGCCCTTATAGAACTTATGATCACTTTTATAAAATTAAATTTTTAAAAAATATACAATATAATCATTGTTTGAAATTTAGAAAATACTAAAAGGTATATAAAAATTTTAAACTACTATAAAAACTACATGGTTTTATTCCTTTATGTAGATAGTTCATAATTTCTTTGTCATTATGCATTTTTAGTATCAGCTATGGTTTATTTAGAATTATTTCCTCAATATAGAGTTGTAAAAATAAAATTAGTGGGTCAAGTAATGAGAACTTTTCCACAGCTTTTTGTACACACTGCTAATTACTTTCCAAAAGGACTATATTAATTAATGTTTTCACCATTAATGTAAGAATCACCAGCAGTATAGAAAAGTAACAGATTTTCTCATTTGTTGTAGTATATTGATGTATTATGATAAAATGTTTCTTATTGTGTTAACGTATGCCTTAATTTTAATTATTGAACATTTCTTTCATATATTTATTTAGTTTATTTTTCTTTGCTGTCTCTTCATTTCCTTTGGTCTTTTATCTCTTTCAGTATACTTACAGATTTATTTGAGAGCCATGCCAAATTTAAAAATTTTATATATATAAAACTTTAAATATTACTTTTCATACATATATAAATACTAATGTGCATATACATATTAATTATACACTCAGTTTGATAGTTCATTGCTTACCTTTTTGTCATCATGGTATATTTTCACAAATAGAAGATTTTTCATCTTATGTTTCCCTCTGATTCTTAGATATACCTCCTCTGTTCCATAGATTTAATATATAGTAATTTTCCTTCCTTACATTTTTCCAATTTAAAAAAATATTTTCCTAGATTGAATTATGATGAAATCAGCAACATGATTGTTGCATTGTCATCTCTCACCCTTCCTTCTTTCACATACACCTTTTGTGATCTCATGCACTGAGAAACAGTGCCGTTCATCATCAATAACAAGATTCCAAACATCCAGTCTTATAGTTTGCATATTTCTTCCTCTCCACTTCTCATGATTCATTTAGGATTACTAAGTCTGTTGGATAGCACTGCTTATATTACAATAATATGTAATAGTGAACTGCTATTTCGGAATATTCTTGTTTTGTTCCATAGATGACCTTATTCACTAGCATTGAGCCCCACACATTAGCTTAATATAAAGGGTATCAAATGACTACTTGAAGTAGAGTGAAAACTACCACTGTATCTTTAATTTTTTATTATTGTTTTCTTAATGTTTATGCTTATACTAAATATTTTTAAGATAATAATTTAAGGTCAAAATAAGTTTTTAAAAGATTTTTTGTCTTATGTTACCTGGTATACCCAAATAATCACCCCATTTTTGTCTAAAACAGTATAAATTAAGAGACAAAGCAAGAAATAGTTATATGGGATATTGATGACTTAGTTTATGTGCAGCATGTATCTTAGTTTAATTTTACTTCTCTTATGTTTTATCCCTAAAATTGTTCCAAATGGAAACTATTCTTTGAAGTCAGGGTACAGAGTACATACCTACTGAACACGTTTGAGGATGTTTGCTCAAAGTACGTAGGCACTATGCATTTAGCACATATGTGACTCACATTAACTTCAAATGTGAACCTCATGTGTTCTTCCCTGCTATAATACACTTCAATTTTTTTTATTTTATTGTAATAATATGTGACCCAAGGAACTGTGAAAAAAATCATTATTTGTTTTATATATTTTTAATCAGTGCAAAAAAATTATCACTAAGGCTAAGTGGAAACCATAGAATTTATTTGCTGATTTTTATCACTAAATTAAGCCAGAATTATGACATTATCAGACCTTTTTTTTCACCAAGTCCACCTCAAGAATAAGGCAACTCAGGCTTTGTTTTATTACTGCCTTTAAAATCAATCTTAAAATAAAAATTGTAGAAAGTGTGCAGTGGATTACTATGTAACTTCAATGTGATTATACCTAAATCTGCTATAAGACAGGTGTTTCAGTTTTTGGACCCCTAAATAATTACCTTAAAATAGGCTTTTGCCTTTTAATTTTTGTATAGGTTACTTTCTGCAATATTCTAGGGTGGAATCTTAGTGGATTTTCCCATTGCTGGCCCCTTATCCAGTGTTAGATTGAGGTTCTATGGCAGGACTTGGTTAACTGGACAGGACTCTAGTATTGATAACATTAGCAGTCAAAGTAGGCCCTCTAAGCACAGAACTAGTTATCCTGGCACCTGTGGAGCACTGTCTCTGGCAAAAGGAAGAATCTAAGTCATTTTGCAATTCAAAAACCTTAAGTCAAGAATTAATAAGGGGCGGGCTGGGGATGTGGCTCAAGCGGTAGCGCGCTCGCCTGGCATGCGTGCGGCCCGGGTTCGATCCTCAGCACCACATACAAAGAAAGATATTGTGTCTGCCGAAAACTAAAAAATAAATATTAAAAAATTCTCTCTCTCTAAAAAAAAAAAAAAAAAAAAAAAAGAATTAATAAGGGAATTGGAAAAGAGAAAAATGCAAGTCCAAAGAGCATGGACAGAGAATATGTCTCAGGATAATATGTGTGTTGTATTTTATATCTTAGCAAAGGCAAAAGAATTATTCATCTCTCTTCTCAATTGGGTAGTATCTCAAAATAAAGCATTAGGAAGCAGAAGGATATTTTCAGTTATATCACTGATATAAAATCATACTGCATCAAGAAACCCCCAAAGTAATACCCTTTTATGTTTACCAGTAGGAAGCCTTCTTGCCACAATTTTAAGAGTTCCTGGATATTTTATTTATATATATAGATAGATAGATAGATAGAGATAGATATATATATAGATATATATATATAGATATATATATATCTCCTTTCATGTCACTTGGATTTTCAACTTGATTGACAGCTGCTATTTCTACCATTAACCTCAAACTAGTATTCTGTCTTTACATCAAACACTTATGCTTTAAATGAGAACAGAAAATCTGAATGCCTCAGTTTTAGTTTGTAGTATACATCAGGAAAAGACAATATTTTCCTCTCTTTGGCTTCTATTGTACAAGGCAAATTTCACATACTGGCTGTCTACAAAGAGTAAGGGTCCCTATAGTCCTTTCACTGCCAAAATTTATCCATACACTATTTTCCCCGTACCTACAATGTAAAAATATAAGAAAAGGTTTCCTACTAACAATGTAATTCTCCTTCATAGCCTAAATCTACTCATCTATCTTTAAGGAGACATCCCAAAATTTTATCATTGATATAATTTATCACTTAGGCCTGTATTTCTTGCATATATGTGTTCATTTGTTTCTACAACTAACCAGGTTCAAAAACATTTATTATTTATTTCCTCTGTCATCTAGATATTCTGTCATCCTCAAGTTCTTTTGCAACCTCATTTTAGTATTTTCTAGCTAATAGGCTAACTTACAAAATTATGCACAGAGGATGAGCAAAGGGAAAAAAAATAGTTAAGATGATTTTTGTTTGTTTTATGGTGCCGGGGATCAAACTCAGGGCCTTATACATTCCAGGCAAGTATTCTTTCACTCAACTACATCCCCAGCCCAACTAAATTAATTAAAATGTATTAGTGCCTTCATCAGATACCAAATAAGCAAGGGTAGAGCCAGTACATTTGTTTCTACAATTAACCAGGTTCAAAAACATTTATTATTTACTTTCTCTATCATCTATCACTTGTACACGTTTTCTTCAGCTAGTCACTATGCTAATTAAATGCACATTCCTAAGAGTTGAGATGTTAAGTTTTTACCTATGCTTAATATATAGGTTTGAAAAATCTGAATTTTTAATTATTTAATTAACTAATTTTTCATGTAGTCACAGCAGTGTGAGATCCATCTAAAATTTTCTCTCCACTTATTGTATAACAACATTTCATTAGAATCAATTTCCCAGACTATTTTGAGACTACATTTTGTTTGTTCATTCGGCAACATGGCAGCCTTAAATGCTCATGTAGCTATTTCTGTAAATTGTTATTTCCATGCAAATTGTCAGTCTCTTATATATTAGTCTTCCAAACTAGCAAAACTGGAGTTATAAACAAGGGAAGCAAACATTTTTAAGTAGCTTATACCCTTTCTCAGATTGCATCCAAATACCTTGACCAACTTGGTACTTTGGAAATAAAAAGAATTATTATTTACTAGTGCAGAGCATATACCTCATCCTTCAGAATGGTACCACAACTTTACAAGGTACTGTCTCCCAACTGCCATACTAAACTTATTCAGGTGATAAAAGGCAAAACAACATCAGTGCATCTTATGGTATCTCTCCATTGCCTTACTTTTTCTTGATAAATAAGAAAACAATATTATTTTACAGGATATCATAATAATATATAAGGCATTAGGTAGTTCTACCTTTTGAGGATGTTGGCAGAACTATGATAGGTAGGAAAAAAAATAAAATCCAAAGTATATATTCTTCTAGAAATAATTAGATGACCCTTCAGTGATAGAAGGGGTCCAGTATAATCTCCTTACTACCAAATAACTATCTGGTCCCATTGGTACTTTTTAATGGGCCCAGGGCTTATATTCATCAATAACAATAACTGGGTCTGCCTGAGGAAAAGAAAGTTTATATTTGGACCATGCATAATTGTCATCTTTTTCACCAAGGCCCCAAAGTATATGATCCACTATATAAAACACTGTGACATGCAGAGGATGCCTGGTATCCTCAC